TTTTTAAGTGTTTAAATTGTATTTTATCAGTTATCTCATTCATGAGGCAACACGAATTATATTAAATTTGATATGTATAGAATGAGATTACTATAGATGGGGTTGAACCACTTCTATATTTAAATATAAAACTTATAGCTAGGTAGTTAAAACAAGTCAATTTATATAATACCATATGATTAATAATTACATTAATTAACTAGGTAATTAACTAAGTACTATAACTAATATCCGTTATCATTAATCATGAATAAGATTACAAATTACAATCAAAACTGAACTATTTACACACTTGACCTAAAAAAATTACATCAAACATATAGAGGTTGCGTTGGAATTTATAATAAAAATAGTTTGACAATATGTCCATTTGCCCCGGTCAGTGACCAGTTACAATATACAATTTACCATCACGCAAATCAGAAAATTTGTTTTTTTTTATTTCCACTTCCATAGTGGTCTGAATATGTTGTTGGTTTTATAGATTTTCCTGTAAAATTTTAAAATCATGAAATAGTACCTATTGTATTGTTTTTAACTTAAAATAATATTGTCCTATGCATGACTCTGGACGATTCGACAAAACCTCGATGGCCGTTGTTATACTACCTACTCTACAAATAATTTTTTAATTATTATACTGTACAATGTACATTATTATTATCATGTTATAACATTATGTATATGATACTACAGACCGACATAGTTTTGTTGATGTCTTTCGTTGCGTTGGATTTGCTCATGTACAGCGTCCATTAGTCGCTGTATATACCGAATTTACTTGCCCGTTATTCGTGTTCACCGATGTTATCAGTTTACAACGCGTTTGTGTCCGACTATATTATATAATGCAGACTGTAGTCTGTATTAATCGATTTCCGTCGAAGGGTTAACGGACCGGTGCACAGTGTACGTTTTTTGTATAATATTTAAATGAATACACGGCGGTATCGAATTTGTTTCAGCCGATCGGTAATAATGTGTACAGACTAAAGTCTCACTCGTGTAACGCTAACATACATGCCCATATTTTTTTCATAAACCTCAAACGACGATGTTCTACACCGATTATGACTTACTGCGATGTAAACCGTGTAAAGATTGCATACTTGCAGCCGACAATGGCTAATGATCATCATTCTTTACTGTACACAATTCTGTAACGGATTCATATACATACATCAACAAACATAACGATAATTGTATAATGATCTTGAACTTTCTGGTACCATCACACGTGTACAATGGTAATAATCAAAACACGAGATCGCGATCATAAATGTACGATTTTGTTGTCGAAACTAGTTATTTAGGTCAAATTTGTGCCCTGGATTATACGTTTTGTCGTTGTTCGACTAGCATGTTATAAATCAGTGTCAATAAAATACTCTTGAAATCTAAATAAGTTCAGGGAAACTTTCTCGGATTTAAAACTCGCAATAGGTTTTCTTTAAAATAAACAACAATATAAAATGTATTCCTGTGTATGCAACGAGCAGGTCAATCCAAATTATATAAGTATACAATTCACAAGAGAGCAGCAACGGGTTCTTATGGACGACGTTGATTATTTTTTTCCAATACGAATAGAAAAAGTTACCGTTATCTTTATGGTAGAACATTTTAAATGGCCCGGCCGGTCGGACGGAAAAATGAATTGTTTCTCTGAAACCAAAAAGTATTCTTGCGGTGCTCTCGAGAAAGTCAGGAGTGAAAACTAAGGTACAACGAAAAAAACCGACAATCGTTTGTTTCAGTTATTGATGGTTCTCCAGATTGCTTATACGCATGTATAGCATTTACGAGAGGGGAGGGAGAGAAGGGGTTAATCACACCGAAATGTTTCACTTGGATGAAGCGGCGACGGCGGTCGGTATAGTGCGTCGTAGCGATTAAACTTTTAAGTGTTGTCGATACCGCTTATGGGTGTAAAATAAAGTATAAGAATAACGGCCGCACATCACAGGTGATGACCGTCCATTCGTTATAACGTCTATGGCAAACTACCATTTAAAACTTTTTAATAACCCCTTTTCGGTATTTGTTTTCCCCCGAAAGCTACTTTTGTTCTTTGCATACAAACAACAACGCCCCGTCCCTCCGCTCACTCACCCTCGTGGACAAACTAATGATTAACAAGGGTGTAATTTCGATGGAAAAACCGAGGGTAACAAGGCCCAGCCCTAATAAAAATATGCCTGGTTATGCTTTGAAAAAACGAGGAACGTATATCAATGATAAAAAAACGACGTTAGGTAAAAATAAATATAAAAATATATATGATAGTTATGGTGTTAATCTCAAAACTACAATTGTTTATTAGGGCCCTCCTAGATGGTTTACCGAAATAATTGTTATTACATCGAAGGAAACTAATTATTGATCTTTTCATTTCTGTTGTTGACCTTTTGGGTCATTTGTTTGGTAATACCAATAATATAGCATATGGTAGGCCAAACAGCCCGTTGCCGCAAACGATATTTTATTATTTGTTATCGAAGAATATTGTAGCGGCAATATAGGGGTTGGTTACTTATAAGGTTTGCCTTTCGTTCTCCGTCTTCCGATATTATTAATGTGTACGTTCAATAACGAGGAATCAAAAAAAAAAATATTATTTTCCCTTCAAAGGTTCTTCTCAGCTTAGTCGGTGAACTGTAAACGGCGTGGTCGATTCGGGTCCTTCATTTTTTTCTTTTCGATATCATAATATTAAAAGGAAAACATTTCCGTTGTATTTTCTCATTTTTTTTTTTTAGTTTTCCACGCCACCAACAACGCTGGATTGTGATTAGAAATTCCCCTTTCAGTTTATTGCATGTATTTTTTGTGAGACCTATCACTCAACAAGAAGCACATCAGTAACAAACAAAAAATCTCTACAAAATCAATAAACCTTACACCTAAACCGTAGTTTAGAGTGTAAAGCACTTTCTAACACAAGGGCGTATTCATGGGGGTGGCTGAGGACGCTCCAGCACCCCCCCCCCCCCCCGAAATTTGTTTAGCCTGCCTTAAGTTTTAGTTTAAATTTAAGTTTTAGTTTAAAATTAACATGTTAACACAAACGAGTATTTTGCTTCGCATAAAAGTCCGAGAAAAAACCAAAGCTGACACTTTTATTATTAAATGCAAACAAATTATGGTACCTATTTGTAAATGGAATTATAACTTGATTGAAGATATTATTATTATTATTATTTTATAGTTGCACGTAGACTGCATTGAAATGGTATCAAGGCATATTCTGTTTGAAAAGTTTTCGCCTTTTACAACTAATGGTCTAGAATAAAGTCAAAGTTCTCGAAAGATCAACGATCTGGAATAATTTGAAATTAATATATTTCTACTCGAAAAACGGCTATGGACAGCTTTTGTAGATAAACGGCGCTACAAGTCGTAAACAGTTTCTCTGAATATAATATTATACTGTGTTACACTTTGAAACGTCAGTTTATTAATAACTAAATGTAAACTGTACCCCGAGTTGTAAGTAATATATATATATATATTGAGTGTCTTCAACTTGCAATAATATGTCCTCTTTATAGTAAATTGTATACAAGTTTATGCCATTGTTTGTTTTGGAATCCAAGTACAAAATCATTATGGTTGTTATTACAGCTTTGAAAGCTTACCTCAAACCCTTTTAAAAATATTATACATGTTTTCTTGAAACCCTTTTAAAGGTCATGTTTCTTGTGAGTCGTCGGTACGTTATCTTCCTAAATCGCAATTAATATTTTACCTGTCGACTATAATACTTACCCGTGTGTGTGTGTGTAACATAGCTTTTAAAAAGTATTCGTGTATCCGTTTAGTGAATATTTCTGTGGTGAACAGTTTGTGTTGTAATGGTTACAGACGTCATAACACTGAACGCATTTGCTGATTAAGTCGTTTATAAACGACCACTTTCGTTTCTTATCTTATGCATATAGTCGGTCTTGCCTTTAATGGAGGGTTTTTTTTTATTTCAAAAGCACTTATACTGCGCACTACCCTTGCCTCATATATTGATATCTTAAGCACGACCACGCAAACCCACCTTTGAAATGACAGACCTGAGCGCGTTAATACTTAATAATAGTGTTTACTTCCTCTTACGTTTTAATGAGGATGGTCACATTTTTTACTACGTTAATTTTATCGAGACTTATCAAAAAAAAAAATGTATAGTTTTGATGCACACATTTTTATTCTTATAGTAACTATAGTAATTCTTATAGTAACTACTTATAGTAACTAGTAGTAGCTCAAAAACGGCCGGAAGGCTTCACTTCGTTTTCTAGCCAACATATTATGCCATTTAAGATTTTGATTTGGTTTTTTAACTAACCTAAAGAAACAAACTTAAAAAAAAGTCTTATACTCAAAGGAATAAATCGTCTTATAGATTTTCAGATATGGACGCCCTTACTAGAGTTATTTACAATATTTATTAACAAAACACATATTAGTAAATTACTCTGCGTCAAACGTGTTATTGTTATTTTTTTCTTATTTATTTCTCTCGATAATTTAAGAGACGTTTGATGTGAACTAAAAGGGTAAAGTTGTAAAGTATTGTTGTAAAATTGTTTAAATACATTATTTTTATATCAAATACTAATTTGATTAAATACTTTAAAAGAAGAATCAAGGTCAAGTTAATTACGTCAAATATTTGTGCCCAATTTAAAAGGATTGAGTATACCGACTGTTTTTTTTTAGAAGTCAAACTTGTCTGTTGTCGGTACTCGTTTTTTTTCGACTTACACGACGCATATAACCGTTAGCTAGTTGGATCTTACCTATCAGTTATTCATTAATTTAATATATACGTTTTTTTAAATTATTCTAAATACTTTTTGCAAAAAAAAAACCCTTATACGCTTTTGATATTTTCCGAAATACCTTTGCAATCAGTGTTCCGTATAAATACATGGGCCGCCTACTATTTTGTTTTACTTTATGGATAATATTATTTATTTATGTGGTTTTTCCTTTGTTTTTTTTAGTCGAGAACAACCACCATCATCACGGCAGCAGTTCCGGTTGCCGGTATCCGTCGTGGCTGACCGAACACCACACTTGGCATTCGCTAAACCACGGTCACGTATATCATTTCTCGCCGAGGAACGGCACGCTACGGAAAAGCATACCCGGCGCCGGACCGGACCACGATATCCGCGCCGCTTGTCACAGGGTACTCAACGTCACCGACAACAAGGCGCTTATCGTCACACACTACACTATCGGATGGTGAGCTCTACACAATTATTATAATATATACATCTGTCCTCTTTTTTCCAGTCTTATTTAAAGTCACGATCGGCCGTGAACCCCCTTCGGATTTTCCCCCTCATTCTTTCTCAAGTTAAATGTCTTGTTATGAGCGACAAACGTGTCTGCCGCCTTGGGTTTAAAAAAAAAAAACATTTTATGTATTTCCTCTTACTTTTTTTTTTCTCCTTTTTCTTCTCGTAACCCCTTTGCACGGTCGTGTATGCATACATATACATTATGTTATATGTACGGTACACGCATTCCGCCGGAAAACATTCAGCCATGTCAGCGTGGCGGCGGCCGCGCTCTACTCCACCGTACGAGTAATCAACCCCCGGTATTTTGTTGTTTGTTTTTTTTTTATTATTATTATTATTCCCGTACTTAGACGCGCCGAAGAGGAAAAAAATTATATAAAGAGAGAATAACGGTTTTTTTTTTTATTATATTTATTTCTGTTAAAACATTTGGAAAGTTCGTCGTTCCGCCCGTCGACTACGAAAACATATTAAACAATGTATGTTGTTAATATATGTATATAATAATAATGGCTGCCTAGCGATATAAGGTTAACATTTTTACGATTTTGCACAGAGTTTTCGCTCGTATGTTGTCATTAATTTTCTCATTCGACATGCAAATCGCTTGTCGTTAATAATAAGACACAAACCCCATCGAAAACGATGTCAATATCACTTAAATTTCCCATTTGATGTAGCTTTTCATAAAACAAAATTAAAGCTAATTTTCGCCACTTGACATAGATATTTTTTTTATTTTCTCCTTCGATTACCAATCGGCTCTGGTCCCACTGACTTATCTGAAATAAGTTTCTACTCGGTATTACCAAACTGGCATGCATGTATTTTATTTTTGATCTGTTCAGCTCCTGCAAACTCGTTGTCCAGACAGCGCAATGACATATAAACATTTAAAAATGATTTAATATGTTTTGTCCATAATCAACTAAAGACATTTTTACTATATATTTTTTTTTTTATATATGGAGAGGTTATTCCTGTTTATAGCTCAGGTAATTTATGTTATTCTCAGTTTAATTAATGGCTAAAAAGTTTTGGTGTCAAGCCTAAACAGCGTCGTACTTAATTGATGGGTTAAATAGATAGAAGCGACCGCTTCAAAAATGTTGATGAGATTACGTTTTCCAAAGAATATTTTCAAAGTTGTAGGATTTGTGTAGTCAGTTTTAGACATACATTTTGATACGCTATATTGCCAACTAAGAATTCTCGCATCAAATGTATAAAATACAACACATTTATCCACTCAACCCGACCATTCAACTATTGTAGTAACCGATATATTTTCATTTACCGTACTGATAAAATGTTTATAAATTATTTTGCAGCCAAAGCGGATACGCGTGCATGGGGTTTTACCGTCGTGACAGTCAAGTTGTGGAAATCCAAGAGAGCGGTACGTATCCCGAGTGATTTAATTAAATTTCCAACGCATACACGTTGACGCGATGGTGTCGAGTATAAAATTGTTCGGCTGGCGCCTGTTTGTGCTGGCAACTCTTGCAGAATTTTCTCGGATCAACCGTCAAAGTAGTGTTGTTGTTTAATGTGGACCGACAGGTGTCAGACTGATATTGCATGACAAATATAAATGGCCGGAAAATTCGCCGACGTGCATAATTAAAATGTTTTACGCCGAACGTTTTGTCGACGGACTTGTGTCGCAGTAATACCGACCTAACGGTTTTCGGTACTGACAAAAGTTTTTCAGTTTGCCGTTCTGCTGCGCGCGCGATGACGTTTTACTAACTTTTCACTTAAGCGTAGGTCGATCGATATCGCCTAGAGACAAGGGCGAGATACGTACAATAACTTATTTTTCCTCCTTAAGAAAAAGAAGAGACGGCGGCGATGGGGCAACGTCGGCGAAAAAGCGCACAAGACCACCCAGCGCATAGAAGTGAAGTTATAAGTTTGGCGCTATAAAATCCATAACGGCCTCGACCGTATTGGCAACACGTATGGGGCCGGTTGTAAATATAAGAAAATTACTGTCGTTTCCTTCCGTCGGGCCTTAGACCTTTTTTATTGAGCCGACGATGTGAAATCCGAGGCGTAATTTAATTTACACCAAGTGTCGGTCGGCTTAAACATACATAAAAAAAGAAATCTACACCAAAAGGCTTCACGTGAAGCCTCATACGCGCCAAACTTTGATAAATTTAATGTTTGTCCTACAAATTAAAAAGTGTTTACTGCTCTTTATATATTTTTCCATACTACATTATTAATCCTCCGCTTTAGGTTAAAAATAGTGTACGAGTATTTTTTTTTTTGTTCGCGTTTATCTTTGTTAAACGTATAGTTTGAAAAAAAATGTCAACAACTCACTTTAAGTACTCGCAGCAAATATAGTCGATGTCAATCCGCGGTTTTTGGTATTCGAAATAAAACAGTCGACAAAAAAAAAAGAGGCGTAACTTTCATCCGCCGTCGTCATCAGTAACATAAAGGTTTCTTGTGTGTGTGTGTGTGTGTGTGTGAGAAAGAGACGCTATTGTTGCGTTTCCGAAGACAATATATAATACGACCAAAGTGGTGGTTTAATATCGAAATGCAATTTGTTGTTGTCGCCGGATTTTTGGAGAACGGCAAAGAAAAAATAACGCATTGCTCTGCAGCCAAGTATCCGCCCACTGAAATGGAATATCGAGTCGGTCCCCCAGCAAAGACGCCCCCGCACAGCCATCGCCCCCCCCCCCCCCCGCTGACATAATAATAGTTATATTTTCCTAAACGATTTCCTATGGACAACGTACGGAGGAGAGTATAATGTATATATGCGTGTGCGTTTAGAGCTTGTGTTTTAAGTGTTGTATATATGTGTTATGTATGTGAAACGTTTGAGTTTTTTTTCCAACGACTCTATATAATAGTGTCCGTTTCTTACGTTTTTGGGCGTTAACGCGGTCCGAGCCGTTAGTTTTGAACGGCGACTTTAAGGACCCTTTTTTCTCGATTTTATTATTTATCGTTATCCTTTTCGCTGAACACACTGCTCTTCTTGTTCTCATACCGAAACCTTTGCACGTTTTCCCGTCCGAAAGCTGTATAAAAGTTTATCATCAGCGTTTAGTTTCTGAAATATTATTGGTTCAATAATTTCCAAGGCCGATGCCGATTAAATCGGCGAAGGAATGATGCACAATGCTCGTGGTCCGGCGCTGGTGTCTGATGCGCGCTTGGATTATTATTATTTTGTTGTTTTACTGTATAACTACTATAGAATTAGTAAAATGTATTGTGCGTACACTTATTTTTTAACTTTAAAACAGGGCTTTCGCGATTTCAATGATGTATATACTTAATAAATCAATTTTAAATTAACAATATTCTGTATTATTGTGATTGAGGGCAGCACGCCAAATTTATTTATAGGACAAAAGACAAGTTAGGAGTCGTGAAAGTCGGCTGATAAAAGATATGATAGCTATGACAATTAAAGTCTTAAAAACATAAGCGTGCTTCGACTTTTTAGCTTCAGCTCTAAATTATTTGGACGTTTTTAATTTTTTAAACTGTTTTTTTTAATTTTATAGTCAATAGCGTGACGACCAGTGAACCGGATATTGTTTTCCAAAATATTACAACAGTCCAATTATTGTATGATTATGATTATTATATTCTACTTGCCTCGTATGTGTGACATTACAGGCCTATTACCGTTGCCGTCCTATCGCACACGGCGAACTTTATATTATGCGCGATTATATATGTATTTCCGCAGAGTTCCACCCTATAATGGTGTCCATTATCTTTCACGGTCGTTTATCTTGTCGCCGACCGTCCCTCCGTCATAATATAATATCGTACATCCGTCGCTTCAAGTACATCCGCATTATTATTGTTGTTACATATTATTATTATATGCTGTAAAATATGTTCGGTACTCGCACGCAATGTTATTACTTGTTGGAATTAATGTACGGTTGTGTCGTGACGGTCCGAATTTTTGTCAAGCACACATTATAATACCATCACCCTAAACCTCAGTTTGTACTTCGACACAATTTGTATTAATAAAAACAAAAATAGAAATCTGTCAGATCGGACCACTTGGGTGGCGGCGGTAACCGAAGAATATCATCAACGCTGTATTTTACTAGAGAATTATTATGATAACCCCGAGGTGGGTGGTTAGGTTCCGTGTGTTTGGCTACCGAATTACAACCACAAACCAGTGTAGAATTACCGTGCTCGGGTAATTATTATACTGCGATATTGAAAGTCCTGACCCGACGCCTCCGACAGAACCGCCACGGGCAAAGTGCACACGAAATAACTTCATTTTCCCAAACAACAATAATCTGTTAAAGCGCTATAATTTACTATATATCGAATCACTGTAATCAATTGTACACGGTACTTACTACATATAGTTTTGGTCCATTTTTTTTTTTTTATACGTCTTAAACTCTTCCACGGGTACGCGAGATGTAATTCATAACATGTCCGTGTGTGTATTCTATCGAAACGAATCGTGTTTTACACAAAACAAACAAATTCTACAGCGTTAAAATATTGGTTTTTTATTGCTTATTTTTGACATTAATTTGTCTTATGTCTGGGGGTCGAAAAAAAATTTGTGTAACGAAAAAAATGCAACGTTTTTTGGTGCACTTCCCATGGTGCTAGAAAGTTGAAATTTGTTGAATCATAGCTTCTTTATAATAGTCTCATGCAAAGTGTGAATTTAGTGGTTGAAGTTCATCCCACTTCATCCCTTTCAATAATTGTAATCTGTTGTTTCTCTAGATTCGAACGTTTCCATGTTGAACATTTACAAACAAAATTATATTTCGTACTTTTCCTATCATAAACCATTACTTACAATTACTTGTTGATAAACCTAAAGATCAGGACGTAAGATCATTATTATGTTTTCTGGTTTTCCATAAGACATATTAAGATTTTTAGAGAGTATAGCGTCCTCTCAATGATCTTATGTTTTTCTCAATAAGGAAAGATTCTATTTGTATTTTGTATATTTATGTACAATAATTTAGTATAAAATAGTTATAATAGGTTCAATCACGATTGACACTTCCTACATGCAACATTTATTACTGATTAACTTATGCTACTAGAATTTATCCAGTCTTGAGAGGGCTTAATGAACTTTACTCTGGCTCGAGGCGAGTTTTCAAAAAACACTTATCACTTGTTATTGTTGTTACATATACTATTTTCATGCGTTACTAATAAAAAAAAACATAATAACTGATTAAAAAAGAATTCGTTCATTTTCTTTTATTATTTTATTGTTCGTTGTAAAATTTTCAAAAATATTTTTACAAGATTAAATCAAGACTATCTAAGTTTTACTTTGACTATTTTCAATAAATTTATTTAAAAACTACTAGTCAAAGGATATTGAATTATACATATTTTCAGTAGTCTTATATAACTTTGGGCCTTAGGTTTTTTAAGACCACTTAAAGTCTTAATCTTCAGTTTGTTTATTAAACAAAGGTCTGTGTAGTGAAATTGTTTAGGAGTAAAATCAAAATTATTTTTTTTATTTGTACGCTCATGGTCAAAGTTCATTGGTTTTCTTTAGTATATCTTATTAAAAGTTAATGACAAATTTAAAAACAAACTGATAGGATAACAGGTTTCGTTGTATAAATAAAAAATTGTTTTTGAACAAAACTATAATTTCTATGTTTTTTGTTCTCTTTGCGCTTATCAAATATTATGTAAACGTTTCGTAATCTTCATATTTTGCTTTTGTTTTGTTGCAGAAAATCCTGTGGAGAACGCCGACGACGCCTGTCGGCCAGAAAACTTCCACTCGCAGCTGCTGACGTACAACACGTTAGTCCGTAAGTACCCGGTGTTTTTTCTACCCGTTTTGTCTTCTCTCATCCCCTCTCCCCTCCCAAAAAAAAAATAATAAAATAAAAAACACAACTTTCTCCACCACCGAACTTGTAGTCCTTTGCCAACGTTGTCGTGCCAGCGTCACGTCTCGTTACATGCTGTCGCTGTCGGACGGTTATTAATGGCAGAGCGATGATGAAAATGGGATAAACAAATTTATAAAAATCTATCATATTTAAAGTCTTATTTTAGCGTTTGGAAATTGAACTTCAAAAATCAAAATTCATTTAGGAAGTGTTCCAATTTCAACAACAAAAAAAAACGGTAACTTCGGAAACTAGTCGGCATGATCGATGTTTAGTAAAACAAGTTGTTTGCCAAATATTATCTAGATTTTGTTTAAAACAATTTTCCCCTCTGAGAACAATGATCAAGGGCATCAAAATATTCCTTAAAAAATTACCATACCAAACACAATAACTTAGAAAAAATTGTTTTAATCAAAGTAATGTAAACATGATATTATGTAGTATGCAACATAACCAGTCCATTTATAAATTAAATTCATATATTATCTTTTTTTTTTTGAAACTAAATAAAAACCTTTTTACTCTCTGAAAATTTAAAAATTAAATTTAAAAAAAATTAGCTTATTGATAAAGTAGTATAAGTAGTAAATAAGCAATGTATTTTTCTGAAACCAATTATTTTGATGTAGGTACTCGAATTGAAAATATAATGTCCTCCCCTGTATTTGGGTAAATAACTGTGACTATCTGACGTTAATTTTTATAAATCTTATTGGCATTTCTTTATTTAAAAGTGCATTTTGCTTTTGAAGTATAAAAAGACGGGAGAGGGCAAATTGTGTTATTAATCGCCTGAAGGTTTTGAATCGACTTTACTGACCACAGCTAGGCCTTTCTTGCAGGATCGTATATATTATTATTATTCCATATACAAACGCCAAAATTTATACCAGCGGCGTTCCCCATCCTTTCGTTCCCGGGTGGCAAGCACACTGAGAAATCCCCTAACCATTAATCTTCATATTTGCGCAAAAGTTTACTGCACCGCCGCGCGAGATTCCGTCGCGTTCAATCATATTATGATTGAAAAAGTTTTGTACTTTTTTTTTCCTTCTTTTTCAACGTCTAATTTTTCATATTTATTTTTTTTTATCATGCCAGCAGTAGTGTTAGACGAATTTTTTACCACACCGCCATCGACGGAAGAGGCTCGCTCGTACCACCGTCAACGTGTTAGCCCATGTTTTCAATAAATTTTAAAGTTTCTCCTTAAAACGTTGGTTGAATCCTCGTAATTGTACCGCAGACGTCCTAAATGTTTTCAAAGATTTTGTTTATTTTGAATTTTCTGGTTGTGTACACTAAATCACCGGATTTTTTTTTTTTCAACGCAACAGCTAACGTTATAAAATAATAATGCCTTTGTTTTCGGTAAACGCTTAAATAATGATATGACTTTACCATTTTACCGGCGAAACAATTTTTAACTTAACCCACCACCTTTCTTTCGCCGACGAAGGTCCTCGACAGATTTGCAAGTTTTTCAATATAGTAAAACTATATATAGAAGCGAAAACTTAACTTTTTAATATATATATATATATACATTTTTTGTGTTTCGACTAAAATTGTTTTAAACAATTACGTGTGGTTGTCTACATCAAAACTTTTGTTGCGAAAGTGATTTTAAGCGCACCAAGGCGTCATCTCGTGTCAAACTGTTTTTGTTGCATTATCGAAAACCTTTATTTTATAAGTCTTTAATGGGCATTACGGCCAAAAAAAAAAATAATAATTTTAATACCAACGAGGAGACGTCAGACGACGGACGGCAAGTCGATAAAAAGTATATCTTAAAGGTTTCTTTTTTTTTTTTTGTGGTTCGAACTAAATTACAAAAACGGTTATTGGAAGTCGATAACTTACCAAACTATAGTTTAACAAAAGTAATTAAATTAAAAACAAATTTATGGCGGCATCGTGTAAAACGGTATCGCGGTTACCTCGTACTTACGTAATACCGTGTATAAACCAAAATGTATAATATAGGTGCTATTAATTTATTAAAACAATGTATCTAACGTGTTAGTATAAGGGCTGTATCATTAACACTGCGGTCCCGACAGGTAGATTAGGACTTAAGTTAACCGCGCGTTGAAGAAACCTTTTAACAAGTCGTCCGTCTTGTTCCAAGTCTGCGCTATTATTTTTCGTTGTACCTAGTCGGCAACGGCCGTTAAAAAAATATATCCAAAGTAAATCATTTCCACGATACCTATTGGCCGAATTAAAGTAGTTGACCATGTGAAAATGATGTAAGTTTGATTATTTCGCCAGAACATGATTCGTCCCGCGCGTCCCATAAACACAATTTGCGAAAAGTTTCACAGAAAAAACGAGTCTGCCGGTTTTTTTTTCTTCCTGTAATCGAAAAATATAATTTTTTATTGTTATTCAACGTCATTCGCCTTGGCCCTTTCGTCTGTTTGGAAAATCGTAGTCTAATTTGTTTTTTTTTTGCGCCTATTAAGAACCAAGTAAAATGTCGGATGGTCTGCACATCTTAATCAAATGCATGTTTAGCGCTCATTATGTCGGTTTGGCCTTAACGACCTACGTTTTTTTAATTTTATTACAAAACCGTTATTAGGTATTATTATTATTGTTATCATTATTATAATAGTCGCCATTATTCTTATTATATTATAACGTTTGTTAACCGCGCAAAATACTGGCAGCGAGAAATTCATTAAAACCGACCCCGGCAAGATTTCCAAACGTTTTCTACAATGGCAGACGATAAATGTTAGTCGTCGCCCCGCACGTTTAAAATATTATAAATTGACGGCAGTTTTTTTCTAAAACCGACAGAACATATTAAATTATACGATTAATAATTTTTCACCAATAGCTGTACGTTTGATATTAAAAAGTTTTATTAAAAAAAATGTATGTATATTTATCCAACAAACAAACCGACTGCGATTTATTTTTTAATAAAATTAGTTTTTCGTTCATTTTGCACCTGACAAGTGCAGTTTTGATTTAGTCATTTACAAACCTAGCGATTAAATCATTCGGCGCATACTCAACCCCTGATTTAATTTTTTTTTTAATGTTAATTGTAATGTATATTATTAAGAACAATTTACTCAAATCGGTTAGGTCATGTTTGGAATGTCGGCGAATTGTTGAAATTATACCAGCAGCTGCAAACAACAAAGTCGAATGCGCGACTAAAACTATAGAGATTTAAGGGTTAAAGATTTTTAGAGTGTTTCAAGTACTCTGGCTGTAGTTCTTAAGTATGGTGCAATATTATATTGTGGATATACAAAAAATAAATGGCGTTCGAAATTCAATACAGTTTCTTTAAGTAGCTACAAACAGGAATTACATTTTGTCCTAACAAATAAAAGCTAAAAAGGAACTATCTTAAGCATTTTCCGGCTTCCGCGAACCAGCCTTAAATAATATTTGTTTTCTTCTGTCAAAAGGAAAGGGGACTGCACAAACATAATATTATTAATAAAATATTAAGTCCCTCCTGAGATATTCTTGTTTTTATTTCTTACAATAACGTTACATCGCTTTAATCTAAATCTCGATAAGCATATTATTTTATGTTACAAAAAAAATAGCAATTTAATATTATACTCCTTGTTGACATAGCAATTCAATTTGTATACCTATTGAAAATAATATAATGTATTTTTATTATTTTGGATTATCTACTAACACACCGGTAACAATGAAAATAAATATTGTTGGTGAATTTTTATTATCGTGGCCAAGAAAAAACATTACATTAAGCATCAATTACGTGTTTTATTTGTGATATTTTCATCGTGCATTATTTTTGTGTGTATAGATTTTTTAATTGTAAAAACTTTCCAACCGTAGTATTGCATGTTCGATATAGAAAAACATCTATAGACGGCTCAAACTGTCTGATCTGGTAACCCTAGAAATGTAGGTATACTTACGTTCTCACGTCAAATCCACACTAACAATTTCCCAGTTTTTTATTAGTTTATTTTTAAACCAACGCAGCGCTGTGAGACATGTGCTACTCGAGTTTTATATTATGGTATGAGTAACGACATAGGGATAAATGTTCGCTCAAATCTCCGACTGGTGTGTATTAGATATAAACTTTAATTCGGTTAGTCCATATTGGATACTTGAAACCGAATCGATAAACACAAAAGTATTTCTCCCGTTCGTTAGACGGCCACTTGAAATTCCGTTTTTGTTTTTTTAGAGAGTGAGGGAAGGGCGGACCCGGCTCGTTCCAGTCCGTTAGTCGAGGACGGTGATTCGTTTTTTCGCCAAGTGAAAAAACAAAAGCGAACCGATTATATTACTATGAGCAATAAAAGAGATATGCGGCGACACGCGATTCTCGATTTTGCCCGCGTTGTATAATAATAAAATAATACATCGTTACACTCTTTGCTGGTATTTTCTCTATGCTCGCACGTTCACCACTCGTACAGTGTACACGTCCACATAATACTATTATTATTATAGTTTAAATAAATAATTTATAAGCTCAAAAACGGGAGAGCGCGCGCCCGGGCTCACAAAACGACAAACGATAAAAACCGTCGCATAGACTCATTAAAACTTTTCAATAATAATACTATGATATGATATGATTATTAGTGCCGGCCGCAAACAACCCTGTGGATTATTGTTGGCCAGAGGCAATAACGCACGCAGTCTGTTCCCAAAGTTTCTGCCATTCCGGCACATTACGTTGGACCGCAAAAGTTTCATCGCTCTCCTCCGGCGGCGGCACTACACAATATGATACGTGTGCGGTCGCCCAGTCCGCTGGAGGAGGGCGAGAAAGGAGAAGGAAGCTGGTTTTATTGTCTATACACGCTAACCGTGTCTTGGCCGTGGTCGCCTCGCGTTGAAAAAAAAAAAAAAAAAGCTTGCTCCTTGTGGTCATAATGTATACTTGACGTTTGTCTCCTCGATTACATTGATAACGTGCTATATGTTACTATTGTTGTTGCCGCCCGACCACCGATCTCTTAAAAGATATTAGACTTCTTTAAATAATTTATTTCTCATCATTTTATAGTTGATCGTCAGCTCAAATTTTATATGTTTTTTTCACAAATATTACTTACTCCATTCCTTATGTGTTAAAAACCCTACGAACTTAAATGTTTTCAAATCTTAACGTATCTTAGCTCCTTAAATTGAGAAAAATTTTCTGTAAATTTTGACTGGTCGATAACCAATTTTGAGTAATTACTTTTGTTGTTATTAAAGTTTAAAATCTAGGACGGGAGGTGAAGTGCGGTCGAGTAACGCGCGCAGATAGAAATAACACTACACCCTTCCGCCGTCTTAAATTTTATACTTAAGTTACCGTCTGGTTTGGCCACTAAGAAAATTCTCATTTCCAGACAGAGCCCCTGCGCTGTGGTCAGGCCATCGAGTCCGTTGACTACATTTTTATGACATCAACAGCTGTGTCGATTTGCGATATTTACTAAACTTTTGCTAATCCGTCCGAGTACGGTCGGCTAACAAAAACTAAATCCAAAAAACACTTATGGTTTCTAGCCCGAGAAAAAGTTTGATATTTACCCAAAAACGCGTTGTTTGGTGTTATGCGTACCCAACAAAAAAACTTGATTTGGTCGCGCCTTTTTAAAAATAAAACTGTGCAAACAGTTAGCAAAAGTTTATTATTGCTTACTGTGGTTTTAATCTATTTCCGTTTCTGTCTTTTATTACCCCCGATGTGAAGTAGCTGTACCGGCGTACGGACTACGGTCACCTAAGTACCCCTGTCCACCTTCCTGCAACTCTCGGCAGATAACATATTCTTAAAAATTATGCAAACCGCGCTCGTTGACCTATTTTTCTGTCGTTTTGCAGCCCCTTCGCCAAAAGGTCGGGAATGCCCTTTCCTCGGCCGGTACGAGATAAGCGGAGGCCTTAACGCCGACGACGTGGGCAAAGCGCTGGCGGCAAGTCGACCTGGAAGCGAGAACGGCCAAGACAAACCTACGCCGTGCAATCCGCCCGGCAAACAGTACCTGACCATCGGATGCAACTCGCCCGATACCATGGAGTTCCTGTCGGAATGCGGTGCCAAAACGGTAGCCGGTAAGTAGTGGAAAACCACATGCAGTACATCTAGAAACCCCCCCCCCCCCCCCCCCGAGGCGAGAAGGCTTCGTGGTCCGTGTCCGGTTCGAAGGCATCGTCGTGTCCTCCGATAGAATCTCTGGCGACAAAAACAACTGGCGACTTTTAGATTGCTTCCGCCGTCGTTTCCTTTATTTTTACTGTTCGTAAACCCCGGACACGTTATTATAACAATATTAACTTGTATTGAACAGAGTACACGTGTTACGGACACTGGAAGAACGACGTCAGCGGCGTCAACTACGTGATATCCACACCGCAGGGACGGACCGCCCCGAATTCTCGAAGGTACTGTTTTATCATGTCTCAGGTGAATGGACCGCCAAAAAAGACACTGAACATCTTTTCGGTCATGGAGTCTTGCCATCCGCACACCATCAGCCGGTTACACTGGGCGTTCAACATAACCCACCAAGGTATGGAAACATTTTACACGGAACGCCTCCCCCTCTTTACTGTGGAAATGCTACATAAATTTATAATTCACCGTTTGCTTATTTTTCATAGGTCTATGCAGTTCCGACTCGAGCGGCGGTCTCGCTTTGAAATCAACAAGCTCACCGGTGTTGGTCACGGTAATCGTGGCTACTTTAGCCGCCATCATCAAAAGGTGATCGGCCATTTTTGCGGTCGGTCCAACTTAAGAAAACGCTGGCCGTACACGGTTGCGCGCATTATCTTGCCAAAAAGAACAAAACTTTTTTTTGAAAAAAAAATATACGGTAATTTTTGATAGGTATATAGCAACTGACGACCGGAATGTTTGTTTGTTTTTGTTTTTTTTTTATTATTATTATTATTATTATTATTAAATACCGACTATATTGTGATCGTATTTTTAAATTATTATTATTATTCTTTTCGTTGATCTAAATTTATTATTATTTTTTTTTTTTTTTTTCGAAATGCCTACTTTGTTTCCTTTTTTGACTTTATATATTATGTTTACGTTGAGTACCATATTATTATAAAATAATGTACATTGTATTATATTGTTTGTTTGATCGCGATGGTGCAGAAAATCGTTTGTTACGAAATTATAATATTGTAGATATTATACACACGAGTAGAAAATTTACTATTCGGTTATATGTATACATATTTATATTATAAATTCTATTATTATTTTTAATTTTTTTTTTTTCGTGTAAATATATCGTATTGTAAATTTTTCTATTACTTTGAAAGTATATTTTGCGATAACTAATATCATATATTATTTATTGTGTGGTGGACAACAACGTACACACTTGACTACATACAACTTCACGCCTGCTTACCAAATTATTGTATTGTGTACCTATTAATGATATTTTATTTCAATAAATTATAATAATGTCGAGGCGTTTAGCGTTAAAAACTTCTTGATAATATTATATTTAGTAAAAAAAAAACACAAATTGTTTACAGTAAGGGTCACTGTTGATTTTTTTTTTCTTTTCTAGAATTACTATTCATATTTTAAATAATATTATACTTATGCTTTGAATGTACATATATGCTCGTTATGATACCGACAAATGTGACTAAATGCGTGTCTTTACTGTACTTTTGTATGAACGAGCCGGATAACAGTCGGAAAGTGGGTGTTCTTGCGACAACCCACTGGATTGTTGTCGACTGTAATGAAAAATGTTTTAGATCGGCGTCGTGATTTTACTTAGTTTTATTTTTGAATATTTGGTACATTCGTCTAGACGCGTATGGTTATTTTTAAATAAAAAATATGTTTGTTATTGCCTATATTACAAAAAAAACAAAATTGAAAATGTTATATAAAATATATATAAATAATAATAAAAAAAAAAGTAATACACGACTTTATCTTAATAATATATTTGTGTATAGCTTTATTTTTATTAAAACAAATTATTGTTCGTTTTTAACAATTTTAAATTATTGTAATGTTAGCGAATTTTACTTTTTTTTTTATATATATATAAATGTATCATTATTATCATATGATATTGTAATACATAAAACCTATACTGAACCAAATAAAATGGTGACAAATTGTGCAAAACCAATAATATTTGTGTGTTTAGTTTTTTTTTATTTTGCACATTTCAAGTGTGCGGTCTGGGCCAGACGAAAGAGTGCAAACTGCAATATAAATCTAATCGAGGTTATACTCCATCAAAATTTAGGTTTGTTTTTCTTTAAAAATTAATTTTCAGCCGCTTATAAGCGCTTATTCAACTCAATGCGTGAATATTCCCATTCCACCTCTCACCAATTCAAATTTACAATAATACAGTGTAACAAATAGTACTGTATATCCTATGAACAGCGATAACTGGAGTGTATTTTCATAATATATAATTATATTATGAACAACTCTTATTCGTTTTTTCGTTAATTAACGAGTGACGACGATTGTGATAATTACCACAATGCTTACAATCACAGTGGCATTGACATACTCATTCTAGTATTTAATTTAAATCAACACAATATATGATTCAAAATGTATGAGTTAAATGTGGATACATTGTAAGAAACTATTGAAACAGATTTGAATATTTTTTTTATAAAACAGTTGATATAATAATTGAAGAGGAACATATTAAATACTAGAATTTATTGAATAGATGCACCAGAAAATTAATTTTTATAATGATTTAGCTAGAACACATTAGATAAATAAATGTAATAATGCTGTACCTAACACTAACACATAAAAACGAATGGCTATTTAATTACTCTTTAACTAGTGAGTAGTCATCTTATTTAAAATGCCTCCTAGATAATTCTATGTCATATAATATTGCCTATCTTAATTTTTGCTTAATGTCTTAAATTGTCACTTAGTTTTTTATTTTCTATGAACCGGTTTCCTAAGGTAGCATCTTTATAGATAAGAAATCGTACCTCTAAGGTACTTAATAAGGCCAACAATTTTAAGATCGTATCCACCCTCAACACTCAATAAACAATTTTATGAACATTGTAGCTTCTACAAGGCTTTTATCAATTTTTAACACGCATTTTACTTGAAACAAAACCATTATAACAACATTTTACAGGATTTTTCGATTAATACAAATTATGACTCTGAACTAAAAAAATCTAAATTCTGGGACAGCTCTGAATTCAGAAAAAAAAACGTAGTTGACATCAATTTAAGAACGTAGGTACAAACAACGCTGAAAATACTTAACAATAATTTTTACCACTGAAGAAGATTATTAATAAACTAGACGTGCTAGGTAAATTCTGAGGCTAAATTCGGATTCAGTGAAATAAAAATGTATTTTGGTTCTGATTTAAAATATTGTACACAATATTATGTCAATTTTTTTTGTGTCTGTATACACTGCAACTTTTTTAACACTGGACCAATTCCTTCGAGTAGCAACTCTGTAAATCACAAATTGTATCTAGTTGGTACTTTGGGGGGGAGTGTAAAAGTTGAAAAAGTTTACTTCTTCACAGTTAATATTTGAAAAAACAAAAAAAAAAACATACGAGTTTTTAAGTTAGAAGTTTTACTGGCTATAATTTCGAGAAAAAGAGTCGGATCGAGTTGAAATTTACAAGGAATATTTATTTGGTATGCCCGCACACGTCAGTTGTGTCAAATTATACCTATTTTCCACCCCCCTAGAGGGGGTACAATTTTTTTTATTTTTTGGGTTTTTTAGCCGTTATTTTTAGACCTTATAGTTGAAAATTTGTCAATAGTTAGAACTCGTATATTTTTTAGTCATGTTTTCCATTATCATTTACCCAATAATTTGATGCGCAATTGTATACTATGAATATCCATTTCAACTTTTTCGGGTCTCAGCAGTTTTTTTTATGTCGGCCTCGCGTTTTTTTATCGATTTTCCTGTCGGTTAACCAACACCTGTATAAAAATCAAAATACCTAAACTCAAAACGTATACCTATTCTAGCATTGTATCCGAGATGACTAGTACCGTAGAATATAGGCATAATGGAATCAAAGCAACGAGGGGACGGAGACGTCACAAGTCCGGAATTATTATAAATAAAAGTGATAAAATTTAATAAAATGCTTTCAAATAAACGCTTTGGTGTTTATTTGTAAATACAGCACCTCAAATTAATACTTTCCAACTTTATTGGCTTACACTGTGACTTACTACTGATTTGCATCGAAGCGTTTTTTTCGAAAGTGATTTCATAACTTTCAGATTTAAAAATTCCTGTAAACCTGTGACCTCCCCGTCCTCACTATGCCCCGACACCACTGTACTGGTTTTTTTATTATTTATTAATGTTTAATTGCTACTAGTCTAGCTAAGTATCTACTTACTGTGCCTACATAAAATATCACAATTTGGATTTATTTATTTAATTAATTAAATTAAAAAAAAATGTAAGCTGCCATACATATTTGACGACATAAAACCGACAACACTTAAAATGATATAAACACACTCGCGCTCTTTTTCTCTCTCTTACTTTTCACCATTTTAATATATTCTATTTAATATCGTATCATTTTTCATCGTGCTTCTGTCAAGTTTTATGATATTGTATACATTTATGTTTTTCATTGCCGCAAAGTCATTGTCGAGAGAAATTAATAATGTTGGTTTGGAAATAAAATTATAAAACTTTTCAAGAAGGCAAACATCAAATAATATGTAAAAATACTTGATGAATCGTCCGATTAGTCGTCGTAATATAGTTACATTTTAAATATAAATCACACAAAACCGTTTTTGTAATATTTTTAAGTATAAAAGTTTAAAAATATTGAATACAAACATTTTTAAAAAAAATTATCATACACTGGACAATAAAACATATAACATATAAAAAAGTAATATGATGGAATGGAATTAGCAAATACCTACCCAAGTATAAATTAAAAGAAAACAAATTTGTATTAAAAAATTATACTAAATACAAATGGTATAGTTAAAAAAAAGTATATATACAAATTTAAAAAATATATTATATCTTAAAATTATCAGCCAATACTTGTCCACTAAGTAGAACATTTTTTAAATGAGTTTTCATCTTTTTGTAAATTAAAAAAGACGTTTAAGTTATGACGGTATTAATGGAAAATGTATTTTTTACATGTAAATTTGGCTCTATCGCAAACACCTAGAAGGCTGACAGTATAATATATCTTCTTTTCGACAAATTGACATTTCATGATTTTTTTTTTAGTCAGTTAACGATTTAAGTTTTATAAATTACAATATTACTATAAAAATAGTCACCTATATAATTACTTCTAGATTAACGAAAACTTGATAGTTTTTATTAAATATTAATAGAATCATAATAAGTACATAGGATTCTTAGCTCGTATTCAGGTCAAACCTTTAACAATTCAATACATAATTTTCTCACATAATTAACGTGTTTGTTTATGGTTTTAAATTTAAATAAGTAATGAGTAAAATACTTATTCAATAATTGTTTTACCTCTTCTTGATTCCTTCTCAAATTACTGTAATTATTACATTTCTTATACCAACTAGTACTTCAATTAAACAACTAAATATGGACAGATATATTTTACGAGTTGCAACCTACAAATAACTAACTATAAAAGTATATTTTATAAGTTTATACAATTTATACCATTTATTCATGTATAAATTCTGTAAACAGCCTAGATTTATTTTTAAATAAAAAAAACACTGTGTACAATTTAGTAGAATTGAATTTGAAAATCGTCAAAAAAATAATCTTTTTTTATTTCAACTTAACTTTTATTTTAACTAAAAATTAAAACATAATTGTCTATAGAATAATTGAATTACTGTTTTTATAGTTCTTCATAACCTTCAAGTACAAAAATGAATGTCTTATACATGTTTTTTTTTTAACATAAAAATAAAAATATTTATAATAATTAATAATAACTAATCTTAACACCAGTAACTTGTTTAACAATTTGTAAAAAGAAAAAAAATTATAATATTATCTTTGGTGCTCACCTTTATTTAACGTTTTACCCCTTAAAACACACTTTCATTTAATCGAAAAAATGCACCTTAAACAATAACAAAATGAAAAAAAAAACATTTGGGTAAAAATCTATTCTTCGTCTTATTAATTCCCCAATAAAATATTAATACACCCATTAAGCATAAAATATCAATGTTAAGATCAAAATAATACGTAAGAATTTATGGACAACGTTTTAATCATGTTAAATACTACAAAAATGTTCAGTGTGATTAAAAATTAGTGAATATAATTTTTTTTTTTTTTTTAACTTGTTAAAATTTAGGTAGCAACTGTATGAAAAAAAAACAAAAAAATAAAGAAAACAATAAAAAATATAATGATTAATAATTACGAACATGTGTATTTTTCTTCAATGCACTTCTGTAATTATTGTAATTCTTAAAAAGATTCACCAGATATGATAATTTTTTTTAATATATATAATCATTTGTTAATGTTCGTCGTAGACCGTACGTTTTATATTTGTCAGTGAACATCAATTTAATCAATTGTTGCTGGTAGTGTTATTGTCCGCACACAACGCTCAATTATACAAAAAGTTCTTTTAATCAGCACCGACAAGACGCTCCCACGACCTAATCGGCTGTACTCGTCCATTGTAAAATGTCTTCAGTATGGCTATTATGGACATAATATTATTTTAATATTAAACTTAGTAATAACCAATATATATAATATTTTAATAGAGATGGGTGATACTATTTATTTTAGAGTATAGATAAGTGGATGTATTTGTTTTATGTGCGTGATTAGTGAAAAACATTGTACATTCATTTCCAACATGAATATAGTTACTTTGGACCCAAACAAACAAAATGTCTATGTACATTATATAGGAAAAACATTTTTAATTTGTTTTCTGAAAGAAACATTACGCATATTTAAGATAAAAATGTATATATTTGAATTACATCAGTTATAATTTGTTATTAATTTATCCTTAAATATGTATTATTTTCTTTAGAAAAATATTTAAGATGTGTTCTATTGTATTTTATAAAAGGAATCATGAATCCAATTTTTTAGCTATAAAGTGGTGTCACTGTATAGAGGGAATTTTAAACCACAGCGATATATAGAAGTAGACAAAGAATAATGTCACTTGCAGAGTTGAGCAAATTCTTACTTGAAATATATTTTTTTAATTAATTCAAATAAAACATTGTTTGAGTAATTTTCCCACGGTTAATTTGAATAACTATATTTGAAATTATTCAAATAAAAAATTGTTCAAATATTTGTTTACAATTCATTCAAATATATACATATATTAGTATCAAGGTCGAAATTCAAATTTTTGGTACAGCCCATCTCTAAGCTTGTTGAGTATTTACCACATCTAACAGACTTACCTGCGAGTACATTGTATTTGGTGGGTTGTAGAAGGATGTGACAGTACGGTCGCCTTGATAAGTTGAATCTTGAGACAGTAGGCCATCCATCTGTGAATGAAACTCGCCCATCATGTAACTGTCTTGCGATAACTCAGGTTGAGACAAACCTGGCTGAGAGAGACTGAATCCCGGTTGGGACATACTCTGCAATAACAATTACACGTAAATAAATTTAAAAAACTAGCAGCTAAGCACACTAAGACTCGTATACCTGAGACATATTTTGACTATACGGTTGTGAAACATCTTGAGTAATTGCTTGACTAAGTGGAGACGCACCGACTCCATTTGATTTTAGATTCTTTTGATTGGGTTTTGTCTTTAAACGACCACTAGTCATTGGCAAACGGTTGTTTCGCACATTTTGGCGGTCTGAAAAAATTGTAATTACTACTATTAGGTCAACTTAAAAAAGTTTCTTTTTTATTTTTAGACCCATCATATTTTTACCCACAACACACTAAAAATGTACTCATTTTTCAACTACAGTAATTTGGCTTACACTCCTTTTTTTTTAAATAGCAAGGGTATTTCCACACTTGTGTGGCAAAATCTTTAACATAGTACTATCAACCAAAAGAATAGTATAAGTCCTTTGTTAGGGATGAAAACTTTCTGCATTTCAAATTTTTTAGCATAGTTTTGTAAATTGAAGTTTAAAAATTCACTGAAGGTAGATTTGAAGGGGTCTATAGCATATAAACTAAGTTTTTTTTTTAATAATACTTACTTTGAACTGATTGTTGGTTGAAAAATCGAGGTCCCATAGAATTCATATTCATAACCATACCAACGGGTATACCTCCAATTTGTGGCTGAGACCTTGTGTCCGGAGTTATAAATGTCAATGGGTCGTGGTTTCGAGCATACAAATCCAAACCTAATCCAACAGGTCCTAAAGGAAATATCTATGTAGTTATAAGTTGTTTATAAATTTGATTCTATGTTTTAATACCAGGTCCAGGTCTTGGGAAATATTGTGGTGGTCCATGGCCATTGGGCACATTTCCCTGACTATTACGATCATAAACACTTCCTGGAATTAAAGCTTCACGGGCATCGTACATGTGAGTGTTCATAAAATGTGATCCTGGATTAGCAGCATTCACTAATTGTTTAGGTTTGGACAATTGCATTAGAGATTCCTTCAAATTATTCAGGGGACCTTCCACCAAAACATTGTTTGCCTTATAGTAGTTCAACAAATGGTTCCACAGTTGTTGCTATACGAAAGAATTAAAATTATAATTAAAAAATCAATCAATTAGTATGCATAGGACATTTGTTATTACTTTTGATAAAACTTTGGGATTTCCCACAATCAGTATGCCATATTTTGCTCTGGTCAAAGCAACATTTAAACGTCTCGGATCATTGAGGAAACCAATTCCTTGGTGTTCGTTAGACCGAACACATGACATGATAATCAAATCCTTTTCACGTCCTTGAAACGCATCAACGCTAGCTATTTCAATTTCTTGATACACCTTGGCTGGAAGAGGTGCTTGATACTGCATGTATTGCACCTAAAGACATTTAACTTTCCTTGTAAATTTACCATAGCTCAATTAGTTTAATCAAATGAATTTACCAAATACGCCCTTTGTCCTTCGTATGGTGTAATAATTCCAATTTGGTCAGGTTTCACGCCACACCTCAAAAATCTAGTAGCTATCTTTTCAACATTAGCAGCTTCTGTTCTATTCAAATATGAAGTACCTGATCCAGCGATCTCTTCTTGGCCTTGTGTCACATAGAACAACATTGGTTTGTCAGCCACTGGCCATGGAAATTCAATCTTGCTCAATTTTCTATCATCTATGAAACGTTTAAAAATAAAAATTAACCCAGTTAATTATTTAATATAATTTTCCTAATGTAGCAATATATATATATATATATATATATATGTGTGTGTCAAATGTATAATTGGACAGCTTTTTGATTGGGCAAAACATTTTATGAATTTAAATGAAAATATAAATGGGCAATTTCAGTGCACTGATTGGGTGTTTTTTTTTTATAATAGAAAAGATTAAATCAAAAAGGGTAGTTCCAGTGTAAATACAAACGTGGTGGCCATCTTCTTGTTTGTTATATTCATAATAAATTCTATCTATACACAACTAAAAATAATAATGTATAGATATATCATATAATACTTAACTGATATACAAACAAGAAGATAGTCACTTCAAACAGTAATTGAATACTGGCTATGTGTTGACATTAAATAATTGACAACCTCTAACACTTTCTGACACTTTCTCTCATGCAATGATTCAAGGGTTTTGGGCAATTACATAACAAATAAGCTAGTATATATAAATTTAAATTAAATTTACCAGCACAAACTCCATTTTGTAATGATCCTTCATAAAAGAAGTTAGATGGAAAACGTGAAAGTTCCGGATGCATTCTGTACTGAACTTCCAGTCTAAATGGTCGAATGCCCAATACAACTAAACGTTCAAATAAAGATTGACTTAAGCCGGCTCTAGCGGCTTTTTTACACATAACTACAGGTCCAAGTTGGCAATGATCTCCAACTAATATCAACTGCAAAATAAACAATTGTTTATTTAATAAAATATAATTTTTTACACTACAAATAGTGTTATTTACCTGTTTCACACCAAGTACAACTGGTACCATACACTCAGGTTCTGTGGCCTGCATGCTTTCATCAATGAGAATAGAGTGAAACTTAAATCGTACCAAACGTGGGTCTCCGGCTCCAACACATGTTGTACAAATGACATCGGCTGCTTTAAGTAATTCTCTTTCGGCTGCTTTTTTCAAAGCACGATACCGTTTTTCGTCAGCCATTGATAATTCACCAGTTTCGTCCTTGAGCTGTTGAAACTTTTGAAGCTCTACATTGCTAAAATCAAAATACAATTTATACTTAGTACAAAAATAAATACACTAACTACTACTAATGATATAACTAACCAAGACATCTTTCGGACTTGGTTATGAAGAGCTAAAAATGAAACCGGAGAATCGATTGCTTCTCTGGATTTAGCACAAACTCGTACCACCTTATAAAAATAAAAATGATATATAGATAGTGAATTAAAATATATTTGAAAATGATTCATTTTTAAATGCAACAATTTATAATAGACAACTATATGTATGAGTGGGCAACGTACCTTTAAACCAGTTCTGTGAATTTTCTCAGTCAATTGATCCACGGCGATATTAGATGGAGCACATACTAAAACAGGCCCTCCATTGATTTTTACAAGTTGGTAAACTATAGTGGCGGATGTTACGGTTTTGCCGGTTCCAGGTGGTCCTTGAATCAAAGACAACGGTCTTTGTACAGCATGCTTTACAGCGTATACCTAAATAAGAATTGACATAATATAATATAATATAATATTATTAAATTAACAGGCCCCGTAACTACTAAATGTAATGAATTTAAAAGTAACCAAATAGTGACCTAGACTTATGTTGATTTCATAATTGAAAAATAGGTTACACAAATTATTCTTGAAACCACAAAATATTTATACTAATATGAGGCTTTTCAAAATTAAAAAAAAATTTAACCAAAAAATAGGAACTCGAATTTTGACATATCAATCTAGCTATACATGTATGTACTATATAAACTATAAATAATTTAATCTCATTAACATCTCAGATTTTTCAAAAGTATTTGCACTCAGTACCAAAAAAAGGCCACTCAGGGCTGCTATGGACATTGACCCAACATTACAGCGTAAGTTATTTGCCTCGTAACAAAGCAGAGTAAAATTAAAAATTTTGGTTAAAAATGTATTTTTATGTATTTAACATTTTATTTTTACTGATCAAAATATTGGATACACAAAAATTAAATAAAACCACTCCTTTTTCATGTTAAACAAATTTTATAAAAAAAAAAGCCTTGTTACACATTCACCACCACGTCACGCTATTAACATGATTTACATAATTAAAATTTGACAATAAAAATAAAAAAGAGCAATATATACCTGTGATCTATTCAAGTCTGGTAAGTTTGGGGCAGAGAAATGTTTGGGCATGTGAGATCTAAACATGAGATCGTCAAACTCGTGTCCAAGCAATCTGTGATAAATGTAAGACGATACGGAAGATTCATCCGTAGCAAATCTTTTTAATGAACATTGCATTCTATAAATAATAATAAATAAAATAAATAATAAAACTCTAAATCTGCTTCTTAAATTAAATACATTTAAGCGTACCTATCAAAAGAAGTAGATTTCCATATAAAGTCAACAACATAATTTGATGTAAGATCTGTAGGTACACCATTATTGATTTTTAATTCTAATCCAACATCTTCACCGTAATTATCAGGTATTTTAATAACATGACCTATACCGGCCCAAGGATTTTCTCCCGTCAATCGTAATCTCAACTCATCGCCATGCATCAAACGCATATCACCGTCGGTCTTTGCGAGATGAAAATAAGCGATTGTTTTTTTATTCAATCCAACATCCCAACGGACGGTTATGTTCTCTTGTGTTTGCGATTCTTTTAATCGCTTATCATAATCTGCTTCCAGTTTTACTAACGGTCCAAACACATTTTGATACTGAAACCCGTCCTCGTATCTCAAAAGTACTATTTGAGGTTCTTCGTCTACTCCTGGTTTATCAAGATCGTTGATTGTAGCTTCGTTATTATCTTTCCACAGCTCTTCGAGTTTAGCTATTTGAGTAGCACTAACGTGTCTGGAACGCAACTGATCAGTTTCATTTGGTACTTTCACTAACCAAGTCAGAAAACAACGATCGGCAATCAATGGTTTCCATTGCTCTTGATCCCTAAAGTAAAAATATTTCAAATAAGTTACTAACAATATTATTGAAAAGTAAATTTATAATTACCAGTTCATATCTTTCAATGAATTTTGTGTCGAACACGGCTGTCTACATAAAAGTATAACCACTGAATCGGCTTTGGCCGGAATAAAACCCAGTACAAATACATTTTTTACTCCACATGAATAGCATTCCAACACCGTCTCACCAAGTGGACCGTCTTTGTGCAATGTTACTTCCTTGTGTTTGGCTCGTACCAAATGATTTATGATGTGTGAACCAGATGTGTTTCCACGTCCATTGCAAAACCACTTTTTACATATGTTACACATGACCACACAGCCAGGATCGTGAATTCCACAATACTTGCATGCGTAGTAAGGAAGTTCCTGAAAATATAAATTTTAAATCATATAAAACATAAATGGTGGCCTAATTTTTAGCAGTACAAAATAAGCACTAAAACATTTAATTGGCCATTGATAAAACATCTGTTTGAAACATTTTAATAATTTTTTATTGTTTTAGTAGTTATTGAAATCAATTGTATAGTGTCAATAATATATATTTTTAACTTTTATGATTTGAAAAAAAAAATCAATTAAAAATTATTCTTTTGATCTTCTTTGTTAACATTTCAAACAAACTTTTAGTTATTTTTATATCCTTAATAATGCAATCGTTCGGAATTAAAAAATTGTTACTAATTTTATACAACATGTCTATTTATCAAAATATCTTTTTTTTTTTAAACATGCAAATTCTATAAATTATTTTTACTTGGCTATATTACTATTAAGTACGTTTGATATTAAATTGTTCATAACACTATTCATTGTTAATGACTTCAAAAGAACCGCTATCAATCAAATTTAATTTAAAATGAAGTTTAATACTACTACTTTTTTTTAAATAAATTAAATTTAGTTTTTATTTTAAGTTTTTATGTCAATTGCAGCGATCTTTAAATTTTTAAAACTCCTAAATTAAATACGTCCGGCAAATTTTTTTTGCAAATTCGTAATCAGCATTAAAATTACTATCAATTTGAAAAAAGAAAATCGCAAAAAAAGGGTGCCCGGTAAACTAGATTTATACCTAATTTAGCGCAGTACTAGGTTTCCATCAAATATTAAAATATAGTGGATTAAGTAATTGAAAATTTAAAAACTCTTAAGCACATACATATGTTTTTTTGTAATAACTGTGTAAATTTGATGGTTTTACAACAATTCTAAGACACTTTCGTTTTGAATTGTGCAAATTTACTTTGGTGGAAAATAATTGTAATCTTGACTATAGAAATGAATGTAATAATCTAACAAAAATAAAAACGAATAAAGAATTCTCAATACTGCATTATTAAGTATACACTATTGTTTAAGCTATAAATTAAGATTTTGCAAAAATTGCCAACAGGTACTTAACTCTTTAATGAATATATATTAATAAATAAATATTAAATAATTCAATGGGTAAGTAGCCTCTAAATTCATAATCATAAAGTATGAAAGGTTTAATACTTTTCGTTATAAAAAAATTTGTTTTGTAATAACACTAAATATATGCATAGCACTTTATGCTAAAAAAAATTATATGAGATATTACAAAAGTAGACAAGTTCAACCATAATGAGTTTTATACCTTAGTGAAAAAAGAATCTTCCTCTTCATCTTCAAACTGCAACTCACCAATTTTCTTAGTAACAGTTATAATATTTGTATCTTCTTTTTCACCTTTATTGCTCAATAATTGCATCTACAAATAGTAATAGAGATAAATTAGAAATAGAATAAAAGTTGCAGCTCTATACGAGGTCATAACTAAAATTATGCATAACACTATAACTATATTAATAAGGCACTGTTGTAAAAGAGTGACAACAATAAATAAATGGTTATATCAATCATTGCAACTACTGTTGTTAAAATTAATTAATCAATTTTTGTTTAAGGAAAAGATATTTTACAAAAAAAAAATGTATCAATTTACTAAGTATTCTGGAAAAGACAAAAACTGGATAACTTTGATGATAACCGTAAAATATTTTTATATTAAGAAATTTATATATTGTTATATTATGACAGCCGGTAAATCTAAATTCTATTTCTTGGGTTAAGATTGTAAGTTTTTTACAAGAAAGGAACAATTTTACTAAATTAAGTCAAGTAGATACTTGAGTGAATGTGTTTTTGAAATTAACGTGAAATCTGTCACTATACAATTTAGCAGAAGCTAAGTAGTCGCACTAATTTAATAGAAAAGATTGTCTATGTTAATTGCTATAATAGAACAATACCATAGAATTATTGCTTGAAAACTATTACTAAGGCGTACTTGATGCGACGATGATTCCAACTGTGACATTGGCGCTTGGCTCTGCGACGGTAATGTGAAATCGGTAAAGTCAAAATCAGTACCTTGAGTGTCCGCACCTATCATGTCCGTCTCTTCTGTCTCCAAAAACGTCAGAGTTTGCGAACTCGGACCATACGTGTCGACACTCATGATGTGATGTGCGATTTATGATCTCTGATTAAAGGAAATTGTCTCTTCAGAAGGTATCTAAAGCACAAAACAAATCTTAAGTATGTTCTACTCGTGCAATATCTGACATCAACGGCGACAAAATTTTCGAATCGGTTTTCAGCCAGCAACAACAATCGACAACAGCAAGCTACATATAATTGGAATAAACGTCATGCAAAACGAAAATAATACAATAACGTAGGTACACCAATACGAAAAAATGAAAACACGGCACACGCGCGACCAAGGACAAAACCACTATAACGAGTAAAGACCAAATACTGATAAAAATGCCTCGTCAACACTGCGATCTACCGGACTGATGCATGGAACAAAAAAAAAAATCTTATCTTGCAAAATTGCGCGAAAATGTTTGAATTTAAAAACATTATCATCTTTGCAGGATATCTATGGCGTGGTGCGTACGCAAAATTGTGTAACAAGGGGGAAGCCCGAGCCTAACTAAAGGAAGGTCGAGCCTGCCTTGCCGGTACCTTCAATAATTAGGAGGGCACATGTTTTGTATTAGGTATTTATGACTAACATTATTAAAAAGTGTTATCTAAAAATGTTGACTGGTTGGGAATCAGTTTGTTTTGGAATAAATTACCTAAATATCTTCCTGTATTTGTTCCAGAAATTTTAAAAATGTTGTTCCTCTACATATACTGGAGTAAATTATACTTTAAAAAAAGTGTAATGAGTTTTAATAATAATAAATATTAAAGACATTGATAATAATTAATATCTAGGTAAAAAATGTGACAAAGAAGATTAATTGTTAAATACCCTATAAAGAGTTAACTGTTAAAGGTCCATAATAAATATAGAATCAGAACTTTTGAAATCTAATTTTTCCAAAACAGAGGTCATTATTTTAAATCTTGGCATTAGATCTGGAATAAATTGCAAATTTCTGGTGTTAAATAAATAGTTTTTATGTTATTTCTGTTTAAAAGTATATGGAAGGGGCTAAGCGCCCTTAATCAGTAATCAGTTGATACTTGATTGTAATTATTTTTAAATAAGTATGTCTACAGCAGTTATTTCAACTTTAAAAATTTAAGCTTTGTAAAAAGTATAATATTTGACAGGTTGTACAGAAAAAAATAGGTCCTTAGAGAAAATGGAAAAAATGATTAAGACATTTTGGAAGAAATGTCATCCGTTTTAAAATTATTTCAATGTTTAATAATTAATAATGGAAAAATCCTTTAAATTCTTAATAATAATAATTTTTATAACTGAATAGTAAATGTTGATTCTAGATTTTGATCCCCCTCTGTGGGCGTCCTTGTATATATATATATATATGCATAAGAATTTATAGCACTACAACTCAAAATACATGCATTTTATTTACTTAAAATAGACTGGAATTATACAAGAAAAAGAATAGCAGAGCCGTAGCAAGAGTGAGGCAATTGAGGCATTTGCTTTAGGTGCCATCGCAATTGGGGCGCTTAACCTTGACAAATTATTAACTGAAAATATTGGTCTACCTTATTTTCAGTTGGCTCTTAAAAGTCTCACTAAAAAAAAATGTTTATTAAATATTCAATTATATTATTATAAATTTAACGCTTGTTACTCTGTGCGTTTGATAATTCAACTATTGTTATTAATATTGTTGTAATATTTTTGTACGGGAAAATTAGTTATTAAATATGAAAAAGACATCAACGGGACAGAAATTTCTGATTTTCAGCACACAGTGGTGTCAATTATTCCTGACAATATTAAATCTGCAACAGTTCTTGAATTACTTAAGCTGATTCAAGATTACAATTTAAAAGAATCGTATCCCAACGTGATATTGTATATAGTCTTTTTAAGCTGCCTGTAACTGTAGACACGCGTGAACGTAGCTTTAGCAAACAAAAACTCATGTAGAATTATTTGAGAACTATGGGCCAGGAGGGACTATAAAATTTGGCTATTTTTTCTATACAAAATTAAATTGCTGGATATATTGATTTTGAGAATTTTTGGCAATCAAATCGAGAAAAGTACAATTGTGATTATGAAAACCTTACTATGTTTTTGCACGATGCTCTTCTATTTAATACTTTTCATTTTTTTTAGTGGGGGGGGGGGGCGCATAAAAACAGAAACAGACTTGATTTTTTATGCTAATCAAAAATTGTGTTGTGTATTCTTGTGTTAAGGCAATATATAAATTAGTTTTAATGTTAAAAAAAGCATAAAAATATGAGTTGAAATATATAAAATGAAATAAATTGAAAATGCAACAAAGATGTATATTAAAACTAAATTATTTTGTATTTTTAATTCACCAACATTATTAAATTTTATAAATTATATTCTAAAAACGTATGGCATGATCTTTCTTTTTTATATACACATAAATAAAAAAAAAATCTTTATTTTGAAATACTGGAGTTTGAATCATCATTGGATTGTTCTAAAACTGGTGAGCCATTATTATCTAGTGGTTTCTTTGTTGGAGTCCTAGAAACAGGAGATTCTTGCTTTTTTTGTAACAATGCATTAAAGAAACTAGCCAATGCTCTTTCACTGCTGGGTGGGGGATTTTCAGTAATACGTTTTGCCGATAATGGTTTTTGTAGTTCTGTAGATTTTCTTGCTACAGGTGTTTGAGGTTGAACAACTGTTTGGCTCAACAACACTAATTGTTTAGCTAAAAATTCTTGTTCATCTTCATCGTGAAGCTCGTGTTCTTTATGATGTTTTTCATAAGGATGAGTTATAGCATCACTATAGTGAGATTCAGGACTAATTGTTTGCATGTTTTCATGGAGTACTGAAATTTTTTTCAATGAATCCCAGCCTGAAGGTACAAACACTGAATCTTTTTCCACTATTAAAGCTGGCGTCTTAAATGGAAAACGATAAATCCTAGAAAAAAAGTTTAAAAATGCTATAAAATCATTGTCACATAAATTGCTCAAGAAAGAATACTACTAGAAATAGAACCTTCAATACACCAAAAGAATCTAAGCTGCCATGGTAACATGACAAAAAAAAAGGGAAAAAAGGGTTTAAGTCAATTTTTGATAAAAAAATATTTTGTCATGGAAAAATAGCTAATTTTGATTTTTCAAATTTTAAGTACTTTACCCTGAACACAAGAAAAAAATGACTTATGCCCTTTTTTGCAAACGCAAATATTTAAGTTACAATGGAAATAGATGTCACTTGTCAAGTAACTTCATGAAGCTTGTCTATATATCAAAAATTGTACTTCAAAAGAACTTTTTTGGGCCAAATATATAAAAAGTTCAACCCTTCCCCTTTAATACTAAAGATATATTTTAAGGTTTTATTTAAATTTTATACAATTTTAAATGTACATATATTAGTTACCTGTGCATTAAATATTTATATAGTAAATCACAGTTTTTGTCTTCCATTGCAGATACATAAAATAAAGCTGCTCCGAACTGTATGCAAAATTTTCGTAAGGAACACTGGATATAATCAAAATGCTCATCGGTATAATTATTATCTATTTCCAAGCTTTTTATACAATCAGTCATAGTTATAACGACAATAATATCTAGACCAAGATTTTTTGTCAAAACACCTTCATTAAGAAGTCTCACTTTTGGACAAGACTCATACGATGGATCTATGGAAATAAAACATAATTATGAGTATATAACAAAAACATTGTAGTACAATTCTAAACTTTTAGAAAATGTTTTATTGAAATAATTATAAACATATTTTAATTTGTTTTTTTTAAATTCAATTTTTTTATTTACTTACCATCAGGTGGGGAATAATCAATTATTCTGTCCACACATTTGTCTCTAACATTTTGTGTGAGTTCCATGCCCAAATTTAAGTTATCGATATGGTCCTGTAATCTAGCCGACCAATATTCTAATGATTCTAATATCTTCCAAGGTTGTTTCATTGATGCAACCAAAATAATTGTAGTATTTTCAAAGTTCTGTTCATTTAACGCAAATTTGATTAAGTACTTCAATGATCGGTCGCCGTCTAATGTCCAAACATTTAACTGAGCATTCTCATCAGAACTATCATCACGTACCTAAAAAACAATAATATTTACATAACTCTTATCTAATTATTTTTTTGGATATATTTATGTAAGGAATAGATGCAGAAATTTAGATTATAAAAATCAACTCACTTGAATGTAACCATACTCCATACCCCATCCTTGTTTTGAATCTTTCAACCCTTGAAGTTTAGTAACTAAGGTTGTTTTACCCGATTTACTATCGCCTAGCAACAGCACATTTTTATTTTCTGGCAATTTTTTCCTACTTTTATTTTGTACATCTAATAATAAGTTGTTCCATTGATTTGAGTCGTCTTTAGAGCTGCATGTACTTACATCTAAAAATAAAACATTTGAAATTGTAATTATTTACTCAAAATAATATCACTTACCCATAATTGGATCTAACTGTAAAATAGCACAAGTTTGATATGATCTTAATGAGCGGGAAAATAATTTAATGGAAAACTAAAATGTAAAGACGTCTGGACGTGTCATAGGTATTGTATTAAAAAAAACAACTAACTATGACAAATTAACTACCGCAGTTTGGTGTTATTGAACCAACCCAATCTAAATCTTCAGACATGAATTTCAAAGTTCTAGCACCGATGATCGAAGCACGCTTTACGAAGTACGATTAAAGAATAAAGATATATATTTGGTATCAATAGTCATTACTCATTACATATATGATATAACTTTAATTGTGACGAAACTTGTGTGTTATCAAATTTTACAACATGGCCGCTAGCGTTGTCATTAGAAAACATATACCTATTATCACAAAATAGATAAAAGCAGGAGGGATACTTTCAATGTAAATATAAAAAGGTGACGACCATTTTGTAAAGACCTATTTAGTATCCACTTGAGCAAACCGGCAACCATTTTGTGGTTAATACGAGTTGCTGACAAACCTATCTTATTTGCTTTACTTTTATCGAGCATCAAGAAACTATAGAATATATTAAATCAAATAAACAAATATAAATTGAATAGGTTTAATTATTGTGATCAAGGCATGAAGACTAGAAAAAGGATATTCGTATTAAAATTTCGGTATGCTGGATGAAGTCGTGTAAGGATAAAACAACATGGGGCTGAATGAAAAGACCAAAATTTGCGCATCATTTAGCTAGAAGATTAAAGGCAAATGATTAGTCGTTTATCAGTTTTGAGTAATAATTATTTTTTAAATCTATTATTAACATTTAAATTTTCGACAATAAACGAATAACAATGTAATATTAAGTTTATTTGCAATCGCTACTCAGACATCCGCATATTAAATCATCTACCTTAAGAGTAACAATATAAATAAACAATAATAAAAATAGACAATAAACACTGTAAGTAAGATAAAATACACTTTCACTTGAATTCATATTCAACATTATATTTATAATAATTATTGTTACTTATGTTTTAACGATCCACAAACAAAACAGAAAATATTGGTAAAACATCTTAATCTGAAACCATAATAAATAAAATCTAAAATCATGCAGGCGGAATGTTTCATTCAAATCAAAACTAAAATAGAAATGTTATTTTGTACATAAATATATTTCTCAGTATGGAAAATATGAAAGAGAAATAGTACTATGACACAATTCATTCCTTGCTGGCTGCTGCTTTAAAATTCTTGTGCAACTCGGGCTTGATATCATATACAAGCTCAAGTATTTGTTGGATAACTGCCTCTTTATTAACAACCACTGCTTTGTTCATCTCATCAATTTTGATTTTAGTATCGGCATCTATTCTGGCTGCAACATCTTCGCGTGATCCCATATGCTAAATATAAAAAAATTGTATTTAATAATTAAGAAATAATGTAAAAAAAATCTAAAATACCTTGATTTCAAATTCTTTGAATTGTTTTTCCCTCTCTTGTCTATACTTTTCAATTTCATCCTGTGCTTCTTCTTTAGCTTGCTTTAAGCGCCTTGCCTTGCCTAACATAAAATTACAAACAAACAATTTTAGTACTAAAACCATAACCATTATTTAGTAAAATCATGATTTTTTCCTCATGTTTTATTAATAAATTTATAAATATTTATTAAGTACTTTATTTTACAATTTGTATACTATAAAAACTTTTTGTTGTAATTTGAAAAAATGCACAAAATTTAATCATGTCTTATGAATAAAACCTATTATATTTATCTGTGAACTATCCTATGGAGTATAGGATATACTCCTAACTTGATATGGAGAAAACATATTGTAAGAAATAACAATTGACTTAATATGTAACAGTTATCATAGGCAATGAAAAGGCTATCATAGGGTAAAGGGACACACAGCTACCATAAGACACTTTTGTATGGTATACATACACTATATTACATGTTTACGTTTACTATAAGGTGCAAGAAAATGGTATGCTCCGAGCGCTTTAGACTGTAGAGTGTAGTTATACTATTCATTAAACGTCTAGAGTAAACTCAATAATAATAATAAAATTAATATTACATTATTGATTTTTATGATGTTCTATAATCTTGCCCTCGAGGCGTATAAATATATATTAATTAATTAAACAACTGAAAAAAACAACAGCATAACACCGTTAATATGCTAATAAAAAATTAAATTACATTTTTTGGTTTTTCGATATATTATTTTTAGATAAAATAATTGTGATAACGTTGATATAAAAAGTCTAAAATTTTGAAACAAACAAAATAGTAAATACATGTACATAAATATTACATTTTCCAGTTTAAAAATAAATGTAATTTTTGCCTACAGTAAAACTCTGAACCATATCTAATTTTTTATAAAATAGTAGTGTGTAAATAGGCGATGAAAGATTAAGGTGTGGCACGCAATAAATTAATCGGTTGTAGTGTTTTGACGTAGGAGATGCACTATTAATGACCAATTTCTACAAGAAAAAACATTACTTATAATTTGTTCGTTTTTTTTTTAAGTATACCTTTTGTTGAGCTAAAGTTTCAATAAAAGCCACTCCTTAATCCTTACAACATACTTACGTTTTTTGGCTTCAGATACTTTTTCAGCTGCCCTCTTCTCGGCAGCCAACAGCTGTTGGATTCCCTGAGTTTGACTTGCCATCGAGAAATTGTTTTGGTTTTAAATATAATTAGACTTATTTACGAAATTCTAGACAGAAATCCAACGTACAGCCAAAAGGCGTATAACTTATCGTGTGAATGCTAAATGGTAATTGCCAATAAGTAAATATATCAACTTGGGTGTCGCCAATCATCAAGGCCTCATAAAACACAATCAGCTGATTTCCCAAGATAATTTTTGTTTTTCATCCATGAATCATATCATTAACGTATTACGTAACGAGTTGTAATCTCAATATTGATATCCCTATATGAATAAAATTCAAATGCACAATAATTTGAAATGGAATTGAAATTAAGACTATTCGTATTACGTGAATATAAAAAAGTATTGAAATGAAAAGAGCTTAAAAGTAAAGGCCGACACATATATCAATATAAAAATTGTCTTTTTATAACACACAAATGCATTTTGCTTAAAACTATAAATAGGAGTCATTAAGTTCATACCAGTAAACCAGTTTTATGTTCTTAAGAAAATATAATTCGCCAATAAATCATAACCAGCAATAATAATAAATCATGCCTTTAGAAGATTTGATCAATGATTCCAAGTAAGATTTAAAGAGTTAAGACAATTTTTCTGTACCTTTTTCAATGTCAATTTTTGCTACGAGTGACTGCTAAATATGAAAATTAAAACATTCTTGATGTACCAAAAAAATGGCACTCTCGATGCAAAAATTGAACAAAAGCCTCGCGTAAAATAAAAACTTGAAAGCCAAATTGCCAAAAGTGAGATTGGCCCTTTAAGACCCAAGATACAGATTTGTTTTCTCGTATACGCAATATAATATTATACAATATACAATATTTACTATACCTGTAATATTTTTAGTTTTGCATCTGGTTTGTTGTTAATAAACCAAATTGATAATAAAAAATTTGTTCGTCTCGTGGATTGGATGATGAAAGACTTCAATCCCCATAGACTTCCATCGTTTACAGACCATGAACTGGAATCACTTGAAAAATCTCTGAAACTAACTTCTGATCAAGTTCAAGGCTTATTGGGTTGTTTAAACCAGTTGTTGAAACAAGTATACATTTTGTGTTCCCTTGTAAAGTTAAAAATGTTTAAACTGTTTAAATACTTCTAGGTAATAAGCGATGTAATCAAACCTGCAATATTAAAAGACATGTTATCCGATTTATTTTCTTTGGAAATTAATAAAGTTGAAACGTTTTGTACTTGTTGGGCAGCAAATGCTCAAGCGATTGTAACTAGACTTCAACAAAACTATAATGATACATTAAGGGTAAACATACAAATGTATTTAAGAATTAAGTACTATACCTTTTGTATTGAATTTTATCAATTTTACTGTGTTTGAATTAGCCAAGAAAGTATGAGTTTAAAATTTTTTTTTTCAGTTAGTCGATTTTAACTGGGCTTTAAATATTTCATCAAATGTTAAAAATGGACTCTCTGAACCAGAGCCTAGAGCTTTATTAGAACTTAAAGTTGAAGATCATCAAACTGCAGGTGGCCAAAAAGTCAAAGAGATCTATTTAGACCTTACCGAAGAAGAGCTGCAGAATTTTTATAGTATGTTAGAGAATATAAAACTAAAATTGGAACAATGCCCACATAAAGTTTAGTTATTTTACAAGAATACAGTTATAACTTATAACTAAGTCTTAGTTAAGTTTTATTTACTATTAAATATAATTATTTAAATTTTGTTTTATTATGTAAATCAAATACCTTTCTAACATAAAATACGTTTATATACCTATTATTTTATCTTAAATAATATTTTCAAGTACTCAGTTTAGTTCTAAAATTTTGAATTAGATACACATGCCAGATTACATAAATGTTGAATAAGTTGTAATAAAGTTGAAAACTAATCGGTCAACGGTAGTACAATCAAATTGTCAATTACCTACTTTTTACATCTAATACCAACTGGTTTGTTAATAAACTATTAATTTTTAGAATAATATTAGGTATTTAAAAATTATTTACGCAGGTTATACAATGTAGACACCATGTTTACTAGTAGTTTGCAGTAAATTATGATGATGCAATCTGTTACGTCAAAAATGTTGTATTTTTCTAATAACAGTTAAAAATGCACGTCATAATATATAGTTTCAAAAGAAAAAAAAAGTTCAAAAGAAAGCATAATTTTGCAACATTATATATTTTTGTTTATCTCATATTGAAATCCATAAGATGTACATAACCTCTTTTAATCATTGACCTATAACAGAGTTTGACCTGATTGACGTAAACGTTTGATTAATAATAAAGTTGTATAAAACAATAGAAGTATTTATCAAATAAAATTTAAACGAATACAAAACAATTCAGTTAATTACAAAAATAATAAAAAAAATTACCATAATAATTATACAAACTTCAAGTCTAAGTCTTTTGGTAACGGCTCAAAGTATTTAGATACAATTTCATCTTTGATTTCTTTCAATGAAGCTGGTGACCATTTTGGACTCTTATCTTTATCAATTAACAGTGCTCGGACTCCTATTTATAAAATTATATTTTGTACTTAATTTAGTAAATATTAGAATTATACATTATCATAAATTATACCTTCGTAAAAGTCCGTAGAATATTTTGCTTCCATACACCGATATGCCAAACGATGTTCCATAATCAGGCATTCATTTAAATTAAAATTTTTTCCATTTGATATTTCTTTTCTAGTTATTTTCAGTGACATTGGACTAACTTCCTTGAGGATTTGAAGAATTTTTTGTGCCCAATCGGAATTGTCTTTTTCCAAAGTTTCAAACATTTTTTCTACATTTTCAATAGAAAATATAAAATCTATTTTTTCCAAATAAGGATCCAAACTAAATTTTATATCACTTAAATCTTCAGTATTTTCGTTGAGAATTATTTCGGGATTTCTCATATCTTCGATTAGTTTCATTTTTAAACTTTCAATTTTTGAACTATTCACATAATGAGTTGCTATACCAGATTTTACAACATCAGTTCCTTTCAATCTGTAACCTGTGAGACCTAACATGACTCCTAAGTGTTTTTCCATTCTAGATAGTACATGACTAGCTCCTACGTCACAAAATAGACCTATTGCTGTTTCTGGCATAGCAAATAACGTCTTTTCTGTGGCGATTCTATACTTTCCGTGTACAGATATGCCAACACCTCCACCCATTGTAATACCGTCAATTAAAGAAATATAAGGTATTTTATAATTTCCAATCATGCTGTTCATACTATATTCTTGTTTGAAAAATTTACTTCCTCGATCTAATGATACAGCGGTAGGGCCATTTTCAGTTATAAATTTGACATCTCCTCCAGCACAAAATGATTTTTCACCAGCCCCTTGAACGATAACCATTCGAACTTTAGATTCATATTCCTTTAATTTGGGAATAATTTTTTTAACCATTGATTCGTTTAAAGCATTTAATGCTTTTTGTCTATTTAATGTGATAATTCCGACATTATTTTTTTCTTCAAATAGAACATCATCCATTCCAGTAGAAAAACAACGTTTACAATTTGTTAACTTGGACCATAATTTTATTCGAGTTGGTAATAATATCATCTGAAATACATTTGTTATTTAAAAATAAAAATAAAAAAAGCCAATTCCTTATAACATCAGATTTCACACAATTTATTTCTAAATAAACATTTAATAAAAAGACTAAATTCGTTTTTACCCTGAAAGAAAATAAATTACATTTTATATAGACATTAATATGTCTTACGAAAAAAGAAAACAACTAATAAAGAATATTCTTAACTGTATTACTAAAGATACAATACAGTTTAATCTCTAAATTAGAATTTTTCAAAAAATTGCCTACACTTTACTTCTACTTACTTGCCTATACTTTTAATGGACTGGTAGTTACCTCTTAACGTTAAGTTAAACAAAAACAATTGTTAATATAAGATAATATTGATTAATTATTTATTAAAAATAAATAATAAAATAATACAAATCCAATAACCTGTCTGTAAGGAAATACAGATGTTAAAGGTGGAAAAATATGTTTATTTACAACATATTATTTAGCTTTGTTACCATTTTAATTTAATTGTTATTATTAATTCATATGGAAATAGATATTCATTGTACAAATATTCCTATTTTTAATTAAAATAATAATAATTAAACAAAGTATAAAATAGAGTACTTACTATATATATTTGAAGATTAACTTAAATTTTGTCAAATATATATTAGTTAAATACTTTAAGAACTATATATAGTATTTTTACTTTGTAGTACTACTAAATTTTTAAACATTAAGTTACAAAATTATTAACATTGAATTTAATTTGTTTTATCTTGATCAAAATATGATAATGTATAAAGGTCTACAGGTGATTCATATACCTGTAATTAAAACACTTAATAATTGTATTCAAATACATGCACCGAGTAGTAGATATACATAGACCAATGCTTTTGAAGAGAAATGAAATATGAATATTAATTAACTAGTATTTAGTAATAATGGTACTACCTGGCTAAACTCTACCGGTCAATTATATAGGCCAATGTTATCTGATAAGGTAAACGGGAAGTATGAACCGGAATAATGATAACTGATAAGTGATAACATAATTAAATCATTGTTTTAGTTTAATTTAAGTTTAACATGTCTTTTAAACTCTTTCGAAATATATTTGTCCATAAAAGTAATAACTCTTTCCGAGTTTTACCTATTCGAAGATGTTTTTACGACAAGTATACAAGACAAATGTATCATACGAAATGTTTGTTATATTCTAAAACAAAATTGAATTCGTGTAATATTAGTGTAAAAAATGTGGAATGTTTGTCAAGATATTCATCTACTAATAACAATAAGTATTTAAATTTTATAACAGGTATTATTATTCTCACATAGTTAGATTTTACTAATTTGTTTGAACTTTAAGGATCGAAATTGACTTCGAATTGGCTTGTAATGAAACAATGGAATCTCTATGTGAATATTTCGAATATATTATCGAGGAAAGTCCACATTTTAATAATGCTGACATAACATTCAGTGTATGCATTTATTTTAAAAATATAATTGAAAAATATTACATACATTTTTTTTCTAGGATGGTGTGCTTACAGTTCAATTAGGTGAACCATATGGTACCTATGTTATAAATCGACATCTACCAAACAAGCAAATTTGGTTGAGTTCACCAAAAAGTGGTCCTAAACGATATGATTTTAATGGTTCTAAATGGATTTATAAACATGATGGAATAAGTTTACATGAATTATTAGATACTGAAATATCAAAAACTGTTTCCATCGATGTAAATTTTTTTAATTGTGTTTTTAGTGGTAAAAAAAATGGTTAATTATTATATTACATTATAGTTGTTTTTATTTTAAAAACATGGTAATCTGTATACTAAAAAGACTTGAAATGTTAAATTTATACTTAAGGATAGTCAAATAATTATATTTTTATTTTTAAGTTGTTGTTTTGTAATTTTACTGATTATTAAACTTTTGACACAACTATAAACGCTGCAACACATAGGCTATATTTTTCTACAAAGGAAATATGTTTTTATCTTTGTTAAGACTTAAAGAATAAAGAAATTAATATTTGAAACTCTTAACCATAAAATAATACACTTTCTGCGTATACATTTATTGCCAACAATGTTGTCATCTGACTGAGAGTTAGTCTGTTGTTTGCGCTGAAGATGACAACATTGTTGGCGAAATATGTATACACAGAGAGTGTATTATTTTAAGGTTAAGATTTTTAAATATTCATTTTTTTATTATATACAACCATAAGTTGCTTAAGTTTTTTTCTATAGTATTAAAGAACATGCCTTAAAAATATTAACTAACGTTAAATCTTAACGGTTAACCAATTCGAAGGAGGATACGCATAGTTTTTGGGAAGGACGGTGGTGGTATTTCATAAAAATCTGGTGTATTGCATTTATATAAAAACAATTTTTAAGTAGAGTCGGCCCCAAACTGGCACCCCTCAAGTACGGGCTTGAATTATTTTTTTTGATTTGAGCACTAATTTTTTTTAGTAGGAATTAATTTTTGTGTATTACTAAAAACGTGTTATATAATTTTGACAATTGCAATAATTTAAAAATACAACCTGATAAATGTGCCAGCTAGCTTTCAAATGTTGATAAATTAAAATTAGCATTTTGTTCAAAACGAATATTACTTATTTTTTTATGTACCTGAAACCCCCTCATTTTTTTTATTATCTTTAAAAACTTAAGAGGACGTTATACCCTTTAAAAATAATCGTAAAAAAGGTGTTTACGGTAAAGCGTGTTGGTCAAAGCGAATTGGTCATAGAATAAAAATGTTGGTACCGTTAAAAAGAAGAAAATGTCAACTAGGCTCTCTCGTCGGTTTTTATGGAAAACCTTAAGTTTACCTTAAATACAAGCAATTAAAAAAGTTAAAAAAATGTCAGAATTAAAATATAAATTGTGAATGTTGTGACTTGGGTTAATAATATCAAAAAGAGCCGACGAGAGAACCTAGATAAAGTTCTTATTATTTGATATATGTAAAAAAAAATTGTCTGCGATTGTTACTTAGTTGATAAGAGAGAATTTGCGTAGCCAGTTTAAATGAAATTTTTTTTTTAAATCGTCAAGAATGCTGTAACATTTTGAAAAATAAATAAACTACCAAAATCGAGTCAAGATTACTTATGAGTGCGTCGCCCCGGTGATTTTCAGTGGTAAAAACATGTTTACGCCAACTGAAAATAACTCGCTTAATTTTGGTTTTAAAGTAAAAGCACCCATTATAAAATCTAAAAGAGAACAATATTCCGGAGGGCAAGCTGGTGCGTTTTAAAAAAAAAAATCGTTTTTTGAAAAGTTACAGTCATTTAAAAATGTCAAAATAGTCGTTATTTCCAAAATATGTATTGTGCGTTATACTTAAAGTAATGAAAAAAACGCACCGTCTTTCCCTCCGGCATATTGTTTTCTTTTAATTTTATGATGGGTGCTTTTACTCTAAAACCAAAATTAAGCGAGTTATTTTCTGTCTGCTTAAACATGTAGAGATGAAAAACCATTTTTAAATCGCTTTCAAGAATGTTGTGATAGTTCGAAAAATAAATTAACTACCAAAATAGAGTCCTAGTTATTGAACGAATAATTAAACATCACAGTTAAGCATTTAAATTACTATTTCACAAAAAATTGCCTATACCTAACTCCTTAATAAATAGAGGATATAAGTTATAACGTCATCTTAAGTGTGCTAAATTTCAACTGAATTGAACGATGAGAATACGTGCCCTAAAGACTTCGAAACACCAATATACTGTTTAACTAAAGGAATAATTTTTCTAATATTTATCAGCTACCATTACAATAATAATAATTATTACTTTATCAAAATTTGTTAATTAACTATTTTTTTTCGAGGGAGAGGGATTTTTTTCAATTAGGCCCTCGGCTAATCTTAGTTCGGTCGTAAGGAAAGGGTGGAATACCCACTTCTACTTCTGGTTTTTGGACATTAAGAATACCTTATTTGTTGTAGGAATTTCGATTTCTGAGGTACGGACTTAAAGTATAAATAAATCGGTCCATCGATTGAAAAGTTAAGTTTAGACATAACAATAAAAAAGGCAACAATGCTAGACCAATATCTTCTCAGAATTTAAGCTAGTGTATATTGGGGGACTGGTATTTTGTACACTCCATATATTATAAACTATAAGCCTGATGTTTGCTATCCTACGCCGGTCGGCGGTATTTATTGCACACTATAATTTAGTTACCTTGCCGCCTTCGGTCTACCTACCTATTGTTATATAAAAAAAATATCTCCTAATTTCCAACTTGAAGTGTCGCCAAGAGGTCTGCGACCGTTTTGTTACCCCAAAACGGAAATATCCTACGCCTTAACCTTTAGACCAGGTAGTGTATTAGCATATCTTTATTTAATATATTGTATAACTATTGTTAATCATTTCAAAAATTGTATACTAATTTTCATTGACAACTGTCTCAATGTAGATATTACATTTTGAATATTTTTACAAATCGACTGAAAATCCAACAAACAGGGTATATCTAATATATGTTATTATTTTTAGAATTAGCTATACTATTCCATCAAATTAACTTTTTGACAATTAGGTAATTATTAATTTTAATATTGTAGGCAATTGGAGATTTGCGTGGGTTTAAAAAACTCAGCGCAGGCCATGATATAAATTTGTTTTGTTATTTATTTTTGAGTAGTTGTAGTAGTTAAAAAGTATGACCAGAGAATGCTAATACCTAAACTCAGCTCGCATTCCGGTTCCTGAAATTTTTTTCTTGAAATCTTAATAGAGGCTAGTCAATTATAATATATAAAACAAGTGAATTTTTTTTTTAAATAGCAATATTGGCCCACAAAGTCTGTCCACGTTTATGATCGTAATTCATATTAACATAATATGTACTATATGTCAATATATTATCAATTATGAAACGTGAAGTAAGATGAAAAAATAAAACTTCCAACATTATAAGTTATAACCAGTGCTTATTCAAAATATATTATATTTATAGTTAATAGAAAAAATATGTTTTATATACGTAACTTGAAGTTATTGAACCGGTTGGACGTCTTTATTATAAATCAATACTACATGTGGTTTTTCCAAGAATAATAGAAATTGTCAATACTATTTTACCTGCGTCCAGTAGCCACTTTCAGGAGTTGTTCGAAAAAAAAAATGTTACCTACAATAACTGAATGTACAATCGACACTGGCTTATATTCCGATTACACCAAACCTGTCGCCTTTATGTCTACGATTTCGGTTGTCGTTCCATTATGCTATTGCAAAGAGACCTTAACAACGTTTTCTCTTGTTCGTAACCTTTTATAGCGCACCGCCTTTTAAGCCATCATCTGGAAAACGGATCAGTTGTATATGACTGTGTAACACGAATTCCAACACCGCAGAACTGTGTATAGTATACGTACAGGTAGGTATCATATGGGTTTAACACAAGGAATCCGTTTTTTGAAGAGTCTAAAATGACCATTATTTTGATACTAGTCCTATAACATAACATTTATCAACTATTATTATGAAATACATAATGTTATTTTGTATCACAAACAGGCGTTCTCATCAGTTAAGCTTAAAAATTAAGTATTGGTACTTAGTTTAACAATAATTAAAATTATGAACTAACATGTATACTTGAATATTAGGCCGAACTACGGTAAGAATAGCTATATAACAACTTATTATATAGGGTGATATACGTGAAATTGAAACTAAATATCTGTGAATTTATATGCATTACAAAAACAAGTTAAAATATTGTTTTTTTTTAATATGTAGGAATATCTGTTGAAACCTTTCAACAAAATTGTATACGAAAATGTATTGTCTGAAGCTGATATATAAAATCATTTGAATAAAGCGTTGGTCAAAATCTATTTAAGCCTATTTAAAAAAAATGTATTACTGCCTATATATTTCTCCTTTAAAGTAAATTACTGACCCATCGACCGACAATATAAATAAATTATAATCCAGCATTTCAACGTAGACAGTTTTCAGACTTCTTAAAAGTGGTTTTTATCTTCATATTTAAATTATGTTTTATATAATATTAATTTACTTGCATGTTATATCATAATATGTAAAGTTACATAGAAAAGCCTAATTTTATATGATTTATTTGTAGCTTATAGTGATAATGGCATCAAAGACTCCTTGTGTACTTAATTTGAATTACATACACCTATTTTTAAAACTACAATTTGTTAAGATCATTAAGATACAGATAAAAATTAGAATATACATTATTATTGTTTTCAGGGACTAGTTATGTTGTAACATTTACAAATGATACTGCCGTCTGTGTGTAATGAAGCTTTACAGCTAAATCCTCTCTAAAGTTCAATCATCTTTGAAGAATACCTAAACAAACAGAATCTTTATACTAATATCTTAAAACGATTTTAAATCATGAAAAAGAGTTGCATTAACGCCTGCGATTTATAATTTGTTTATTTACTAAGTAAAATTAAGAACTCTAAATTAATCTAAAATTTCAAACATCTTAAATTACTAAAGTTATAAAAATAAGAATCATTTAAATAAACGTGTTTTTTGTTACTATACATTTTTTGTCTGATGGAAAGTTGCCTATATAATGCGCCTTGAAGTCCGTGCAATTAAATTATTATTTAGTAGCCTCTACTTTAAAACCTATGAATATTTCATATAAAGTTCTATACATGTAGCATGATGTTAGTGTGAAATTTCCGGTTACATAAATCACGTTTTATAACTACACAAATCAGAATAACGTATATAAATGTCAAATGATCTTAATATACAACTTGTGTTTAGTTAATGTTAACGTTTTGGAAAACTCTAGTTGTATAATAGTATCTAATGAACAATATATAAGTACATTACAACTGAAACTCAATGTTTGTTCAATTAAAAGTGTATTTAAAATTTAAGAATGAATTATTTTTATAACCACTATGCACTATGCAAAGTTATTTTATTTGTTCTACGTTTTTGTATATATTCCACTTAACTATTAAGTATGTATATAAGACAGGAGGTACAGTGCGGATAAGAGTCAATAAAGATATTGTAGTCTAGTGTCTCCTTCACTTTTCCCGTGTCTCAACTCTAAAGTGCTTTTCTAAAATGCTTAAGTTTTAAGTTTAAGAGCTTCTACATTTTTGGTCGAAAACAACTCTTTCTAATTTTAACCATACTTTGAAACGAGTAATACAATAGTTTTGCAAAAAGATATAGATTTTTCAACACTTTATTGATCTATTCATCGAAGTACATTTTTAATTTTTGTTTTTAATAATATTGTAAAAATATTTAAAATCCTTTAAAAATTGTATTTTTTCAAATAGTAATAATTAACTAAAAATAATTTTAAAATTTTGTCACGAACAATGCTTTGCAAATGTTGTGAAGAATTCAAAATTTGTTTAAACTGAAGTCGAGAGTATTTTTAGGAAAGTATTGTTAGTAGTAGGAACATATGTTTTTGTATAAAAATAGAGTTTGCATGTTGAAAAAAAATCTAGCATAATTTAACCAGCACAGATAGAGGCATGCCTAATCAATGTTCTATAAAAATATCGATGTTTTCTTTGAAACCGTTAAATTCTTAAAATAATACTAAATTACATATGATCGTATTTTGTATTTATTTTTTATGAAATTAATTTCAAAAAATGAAATTGTTAACTTTTTTTATCGTATTTGTGCTATTTTATTAGGTATATTAATTTTGATATGTATACTATAATTATAGAGATGTAATACCGTTTTTAGTGAAAACTGACAAATATTTGAAAGATAATATTTTATCTATAAATAATAAATAAATGAACTATCTTTTATCTGTAGTTACAAGTTAAGTTATCCAACGTATAAAAAGTTATCTCTGAAATACATTTATTATCAAATTATACATTGTTTAATATTTTATTTAAAATTTTGCCCAATTCTTCTCATTAGGCTATCGAACTCAACAGCAGCTGGGGTCGATTGGCCTGGATGGAAGGCAGGTGTGCAAATACCTAGTGGGCTACTCTCAGTTTAGGTTGTAGACCGTTTGTTATTCATGTCCGGTGTCTCGTGGGCTGGTTTTATGATACTGGTATAAAATAACGATATTTATTTAATTTCGTGGGCCGCCTATGCTTACAGTCCGTCGTGGAAGGATTGTAGAAACGCACAGCGGTAGTAATACCGCTGTCGATTAAGTTATGGTCAAGTTTTCTAGTTTTTACTCGAATGTTTTTAATTTTTTCGCGTATCTCACAACGTTTAACGATACATCGGCTGTACATTAAATGAAACTCCAGGAAAGTGATAAAATGAGTATCAACAAAAAAATAGTAAGTAGTGATGAGGTGGAAAACTTCTGCCCGTAAAGGGTTGTGGAATCGATAAGCCGACATCGACGGTCGCGGCCAAGAGCTGCTGCTGCACGGTAATTTGGTTACGGCGGACGCGCACGCACTGCTACCCCGGTCCGGCCGCAGGTAGTACGCTCCGCCGCCGCCGTGTGCATTGTGATTTCCTCGACCTCGCGCGTTCGCCGTTCCTGCAGTCGATCGCCCCGCGTCGTATCGTATGCGTTTTCGAAAGCTCGGCACACACTATTATCAAAATAAACATTATAATATCCTACACATGTAAACGTTACGAACTATTATTGTTTTCTATCCGTTCGGACGTTTCATTTTTGTTTTTTATAATTTTTTTTTTTGTAATTTTTTTCCTCAAGTCAATTAAACTCGATTTGAATATAAACGCCCTAAAAGGGTTGAAGCTGCACACAGTTAGTGATCGTGGTCGGTGTTGTTATTATTATTGTTTTTTTTTTTTAATACAATTTAAATTTTCCTAATTTGCACAAACGACGAAAAAGGACGCTCAAGATAATGAACAAGTGGTGGCTGGCCGTGCTGCTGCTGGTCGCCTGCGTTTCGGCTTTAGCGGACGCCAAAAAAAAATGGAAAACCGACGAAGACTTTGAGTTCGAAGAGGTGAGTTTATTTAATCTTCTTAAAAAAATACAACTACCAGCTACTATAGACGTCGCTCGCTCGTACTGCGTACGGGTAATTTTTAACGGAGACAAGTCTATTGTGGCGACGAGTCCGGAACGACTGCACGTTTTCGTATAAAAGCGGCTCATCTCTTCCCATATTATCACGGCGGTCACGGTTGTATTAACCTAACCGGGTGTAGCCAGGTGGCCTGTCGCATTTTCTTTGTTGGTCCGTGATCGCTGCCGCAGTATCCACGGCCGTCTCCGCTGGGTTATGCGACACGCAACGCATCACTATTAGTGTTTTCTTTTCAATCTTTTACAAGCGTTATTATTTTTTTCGGACCAAAATTAATTTATGCAGTCAATTTTTCACCCCGACCTCGTTTCTAGATTCTTAGTACCCTCGATACGCTGTGATTACTAAATTCACAGTACAGTTTCCGCTTTACTGTAATTTGTGTAGGTAAATACCGACATACCGTCACATACGCCTGAGAAATACGGTAAATCGTTGGTGTACAATGTTTCTCATTACAACTTCAACGACACCAATTGTTTATTATTATTACTATTTTTTACTATTTTTTTTTATTGTTATTATTATTTATTATTGTGCAATACATAACACAATACATTCTGGTCGATGTTGGAAATAAATCATATTTAACGATTATAAAAAAAATAGGTTTTTAGTATGTTCGCATACAAATGTTTTAAGATAAAACTCCGCGATTTAATGGCTAATAAAATCAACATCGCTAATAGAATTGTCGATATTTTTTTTAAGACTACTTACTACTTTTGATAATAAATGATACGAGGGTCTCTAATGTAAATTATACGTACTTAAATTTGATGTAAATTTACTATGTAAATGTTTAACGATTTACCTTAATTCCATGTAATATGTATGTATTATGTAAAGGAAACGTTTAAAATAATAATTATATGGCTGTTGTAGCCTATAGGTCACGGTAAATAGTAACAATTGGTTTAATATCGTTATCTGTGTCAGTGTTATTCGGTGATATCTGCTGATATCAACAGCCAATAGTGTGTATTGTTTTGATAATAATAAAAAGATGATTCATATCGTATCACATTTAATTTTGACCTTGTAATGGGGTAATATTTAAAATGGGCCGTCTATGTGATGCGAGAGCGTGAGTCGGTACACTATAGCAGCGTAGACGGAGAAATACTACTTTTATGGATGACAAGCGAAGGGGAGGGGGAGTAAAGACACATTGAGACTGGTTTTTCGTTTGTAACAGGTTTTCTAGAGAGACCGCACACAAACACGTGTGTATGTTAATGCATGTGTAGAGCAGAACGGGTCATCGCCGTTCCGGGCCACTCTTTATTAGTTCAAATAAAGCTATAAAAGAACAACTAAGACACCGGTCGTTGCCGTGGTCCTTTGACAGCTGTTGGTGGGGTTTTCGTGTCGGCGCATAATAATGAGTCCTTTTTTTTCCGTGTCCGAAACCCGGAGAGAGCTAGAAAAGGGTTGATCATATTCGTTAACTCGAGAGAAGGAAACCATCTGTGGCCACTCAGGTAAACGTTGACAGGTAGATCATCATCGTGATGGACAATTAAAAGGAAATAGATTTCTAAAAGAACCGAACCACTCGAACCCCTTTTTTTAATCTGAAAATTTACACGGGTTGAAGTATTTCTGAAGATCGGCAACACTTGATTACAATAGATTGTGAATACATATTATACATTTTTATATATATTTTGCAATGCCAAAAAAATGTATTCTGCCATTCTAATTTGAATATTACTACTGCAGATATTATAATATTTGAGAAGACATATTTGGTCTATTAGTCAAATGTCTAAATTGAGAAAAAATTATAACTGAAAAGGCGTTGTTTTTACAATGATGTTTTTATTTTATTTCTATTTTTGTCTGGTCTCTATATGAAGCTAGTCTACCAGATTTTATGATCTATTCTGATCAGAATTCATACCCGAAAGGTACATAAATACATTGGTCGAAATATTTAATAAGTTCACTCTATTTCCTTTAAAATTGAGAAAAGCGCACAAAATATTATATATTTATCAACTTAACATTACGAAACTTTATAACTTACTTAATATCCGAATTAGTTCCAAATTTGTATGAAATATTTTTCAGGAATAGTACTTACCTACCAAAAAAATTTGAAGAACTCTCCCGTCAACCATTTAACATTTGATTACATATAATGTCTATTGGTTTGAGTACGCAATAAACTACATTATTTGAAAATTGTTCATTATTGTGTATTTGGTTTCCTTTAAGTTTTAATTATAGCAGTAGCTTATGTATTTCAAATACAACCGTACTCGTATTCTAAATTTAAATTACAATACATCAAACCGGGTTTTAAATGTATGTTTATCATTTTTTATGCTATGCAATTTTGTAAAACTCGCATTAATCGTGGTTTTTAAAATGTTTCTTTCTTTTAATTCCATACTATCGGATAATTATATTCCTTATGAATGCTGCTTAGGTTTTAAATTATTGTAACGTGTATTATGTTGTATTTTTTTTAAGATAATATGAACACTTGAGATAATATATAATATGCAAATTATTAATTATATCACTAATGGAATTCCAACTATCCTGAAAAAAAAGAGCAAAATAAAAGCAATTGTTTTTTATTTCATTTATTTAGTGCATTCTACCGCCCGTCCGTCACTATAATGTCCTTTTAATATCAAACAGCTGCTATTAATTAGTTATATATGAAAAAAAAACTCTAGGGTGTCATAGCTATTGAAGACTTTTTATTGTTCAGTGGACCAATTATTTAATGGAAGTTTTTTTACAGCTATTGTTATAAAGGCCCGTTTTCCGAGCGTAATCAATTACTATAGACAAGAGGGTGTTTATAAACTTGGTTTTATTATTTTATGGGCATTGTAATAAAAATATGTATAATATAATATAATATTGTATAAAAGGAAGAACGTATATTTTGTTGAACATGTTATAAAATATACTTATATAGTCACAAATGATTACATGCATATTGTATTCAGGAAACGACAATAATTGTCTATTATATATATTTGTGAATGAATAGAATGGATTGTACAGATTTACATAATAGTATGCAATATATATAATATTAGATTCTTATATGGAATATATAAAAATTATTTTATTTATTATAATTATGTTTGTGTATTTACTTTAAAGGAAAGTCCATAAGTGGAATATTTTGACTGCATAACAGAAAGGTTTTTATTTAAACCATTTAAAGAATTTTTTTTTTGGCCATGGCAATAACTTATTAACAATAGAAAGAATACAGTTTTTCAATGCGTACATACAAGACTGGTATCTATAATAAATAAGTAATAATATGTTGATCAGCAGATTCAAATTTTAAACAATTTTCCAGTTAAGATAATAATTTAGTCTTTTATAGTTGGCCAATAGATAAACAAAATTATTTTATCTTAGAAAATATGGTATCATTATTTATTTTAACTTTTAACCAATGAATAATACTTTTGAATTAACTTTTAACCAAAAGTTTTAATAATATTTTATTGAATAATAAATTATGCATATTTATTATCAATAGGTATATTTAGTGTTTGTCTTAATAATTTAATAATTATTGCGGATTCGATATGGGGGGTTACATCTCTCCAGTCTCCTATTTCATATTTAGATAGTCGATATCTGTTGACCGTGGATAAACTGTCGGGTGCAGTTATTTATCGTTAAACAGGTTTCATGGTCTTTGGCACATTTTGTTGTTGTTATTATTATTATTATTACCTATAGGTTATTATATTTTTTGAGAAGGTGCCAAGTGCAAAATTGTTTAATGTATTCAACAGTGATGGTTTTTTTTTCTGAGAAAAAAATTATAAACGTGACTCATTCAGACGTATCTTGATTGTCGTACATATTATATGTGTCATTACTGTGCACAGAATATTACATTAGACATAAATAGTATAATATTTCAATGTTATTTTTTATTTTATATTACAATTAAATACAATTAAATAAGGAAATCAATCAAATTGTATCTGTGCATAATCATAATTTCATATTGGGTAATAATTTTAAAGAATAGAAATAAATTAATACGATTAATAAGTATGACCATATAATAGACAAACAAAACGTCGAAGTATACTTAAGTGTTTATAATCCGTGGCGCGAGAGAATGCATCTGCCAGAGACTAAAACGTGTTACTCCTGGCTGCACAGCCGCATACGAGTATATTAATTATAGTGTCATTATTGATAGTGGAAACATTAAAATAAAAACTTTTTTTTCTACATACTCCTAAATATTCATTTTGGACGTTAGATATTATGATAATGTATAGGACCGCTATTTTTTTTTCTCTAACACCTTTTGAATATAGTGTACAACTATGTGAGTAATATCTATTGTATTCTAGGTTCAAACATTATTGTTGCAAAAAATATAATAATAAAAAGGGTTCGTTGATACCGCAGATTTTGATCTTTTCATACGAAAATTGCTTTTGAGTGCTGCATGCATACATAGTTTACAGAGTATATTATATAGTTTGAAATTACTTTTGTTGAATAAAATCAAATCTGCACACCGTCATCTTATATAGAGTTGAAAAACTTATACGTTAGTAACTTAACTTGCATAAGAAGGGCGTATAACAGAAGCAAAACCACTTATTTAAATTATAATTTATTATGAGTGACGGTGTATAAACAAAAATATGTTATATTATAAAAAAAAATATAACATAGAAGTATATTATAGGTATGTTATATGGGTCCTGTTTGTGCCAGGTATCCCTTACAGACGACGACAATACACCGCGGGATGTTTAATAGAATAATATACATGCAATGAATTTAGCAGGTGGTTGTTGTGGAGTATTATAAAGGTATATGAATTCTTGTTTTGTTGTATTTTATAGTGTAATCAGTAAAAGGGAGTCAAATTCACGTTTGTTGCCTATTCTTTTCAT